TCACGGTGGAATAGCTAGTAAATATTCCAGAAATATTTTGTGCGGTGAGTCTCGCCTGGGGGTAATGTTACCGGGAAAATATTCGACTTGAGTCACTGTGTTTTGCACTTCCGGGGGATTTGTCATTATTTTTTTTTTGGAATTGTACCGTAGAGTCGAGTGGAGTTTGAGAAATTGTAACGGAATGGAGAGAGTGCCCCTGACCCTCTTTGACCGCACGTGCTCTTTTCCTTTGTCTTGGAGTCGTTGATCCACCGAGAGGCGAAAATCTTGAGATATTAAGTTCAAACAAAGGATTTTATTGGCGAAATGAGGAAGAGCTTCGTGTATTCTTGAACAATTTAGCACTTTAAAATCAACGCTCTTTATTCCGGCCCAATTACCCTGAATTATTCAATTACAATTCACGACTCAGTGTGTGAATTATGCCATCAAATTGTTTCATAGGATCATGAGTAAATGGGAAAGAATTTTTCAACTAAAATGTTCAATTCAATGGAATTTCTCAAAAAATTCTGCAACTCTGCAATTTTTTATTAACGATTCAAGGAATCAGTCAAGCCACTACCAAAGTTTTCAGGGAATATCTCTAGATCTGATAAATCTATCAAAATTTTAGTGAACATCTTTTTTGTAGAGCAGATCGAGATCTGCAAGAATGATTTTTACTCAAATATCGCCACCTCCCTTGAATCCCGAGTTATTCCTCGAAAACTCAAGATTTTCATCTCTTCACTCCTGAATGTTAATCCCAAAGAGATCTATCTTCATTTCCAAAAGTTGATAAAATCCTCAATTTCAATTCTAGCGATAGTGATCTCATGACCCGTCACCTACCGATTTTAAAGGGGTACTAAACCTGATAAATACCGGGTGGAGGCAATTCCGGTGATGCCAAGATTAAGATAAAAATAGAATAAGTTTGAGAGCTCCCGGGGGGCTGAGGACGAAGGGCTCTTTTGAATTTATGAGTGACGAGATGTATTCCTCCCCCAGAAGAATCGAATGAAAAATTCCCCAAATTCTAGGTCAATATCTCAATTTGATTCATGACAGCTCCTCCCTCAAGTGTCAAAAAATCGCTCAAAGGGAACAATTCCCTAAAAATGACATAACAAATGTCATAATTCCCAATTCCCCCTCAAAAAAAACCATTTTTACATTTCAAACATATTTTCACAGAATAATTTCAATCAATCTATAATTTTACAATTTTATTCAACAACTTAAATTCATTCCTCTTCATTTTTTTTATCTCTCTAAGAATTCATTACTAAATAAATAATATATATGATCATACAAAATTATTTATGTATTCAAATATTCTTTTTGGTAATTCTTATTGAATTTAATGAGATTAATGAGGAGTAATTGTCGAAATTGGATAATTCAGGGTAGATTTAAACTGCGATGATGAATCTGAGATGGATAATAACACTTCCTGTCCCAGGTTTTAAACAAAGTGCTAGAGTGTTGAAATAATGGGGCCCTTCACGGGGATACAGTTTAGAAGGCGTACCATAAAGTGAGAAGAGTCACTGTTAATGGTAGAGTACAACGTACGGGTTTATACCGTCATTGCACAACTTTGTGTAGAGGAGAAAGTAACAAATAACGAGACGTCATGACGCCTATTTCATGAGCTGTTCAATCGTTATGTATGTGAGAGTCTTCTGTTCGATTACTCAAGATTCTTGATAAACGTTTCATGATTGAAGTCCCGGTTATGAAGTCATTTCGGTCAATTACTCGTTGCATAGTTAAAAGTGCGAGTGTGTAACTGCAACTGCCAATTTAGTGACACAATTTCTATTTTCGTGGATTAGTGTAGGTTTTGTTGATCATCTCGGGAAAATTATGGATTTTAATTATTTTGGATGAGAATTTGGGGATTGTCAATGATTGGAGATTGTGGAGGTGACAGGAGGTGACAGGAAGTGATAGGAAGTGATAGGAAGTGATAGGAGGTGACAGGAGGTGACAGGTTGATAGTAATTAATATGATAATCTCGAATTATCACAAGAAAATGGAAAATGTGGATTTGATGGGACATTTGGTGCCTCTAGGAAATCCTCTGACAATCATCATTGATGTATTTCTAATGATCACTTTGGAGATGTGTTAATTGACAGTTCTACACGTTTAACTTGTGGATAATTTTCATTGGCACTTGGATTATGGTGTACATACACCCATTTAATGTCCACATTAACACAGTTATAAATTTAATTGTGAGATTGTTAATAAAAATGGAGTAAAATCGTGATTTCTTTACATAATTTCTGGATTTCTCCAACTGTCAATGACATATCTCCACAGCTCAATGGAAAAATGTCAAATGTCAAAAATCCAGTCAATCAGTCTAGACTAGTTTATTTATCGATTAAATTCTCACTTAATTTATTTATCCTAGTCTCTCTGTTGGAATTTTATCGAGGCAGATAGAGAAAATTAAAAAGGAAAAAAATGGAAAATGGAAAATGGAAAATGGAAAATGAAAAATGGAAAATGGAAAATGATTTTGAGTTGCACAACTACTTTGAATGAAAAGAACTTGATATACAGAGAAATGGCGATTCGTGTTTGGATCTTAAAAGGCGTATGTGTGTGTGTTGGACGAGTGGGCGATGGTTTTGCCCTCGAGGCGTCTCTCGATTCCTCCGGGGAAAAATTGAAACGGAAAATGAAACAGACGATGCGACATCCACCCGAATACGTAGTTATGGTTGTGCAATATTTGGATAGAGAGGGGAACAACAAGAGATTGCGTCGTCGGGAGTATTTTTAGGGAGAGGGGAATAACACGGGGACATTAATCATTGTTGCACGTTGAATTAACGAGACGGGGCAATTTTTTGGGGAATTTATTCCCTGAATATTTCAAGGTCTCGTAACGCGAATTCATTTTATGGAGGAACGCACTTTATTTATTGCTATTGTGTTTGAGGAATTGAGGAATTCCATTGGCGGATTGTTTTTTTTCTGGTATTTTGCATTGGCGGTGTTGATGGCTTTTTTGAGTGTTATTTATTGAATCTGTTTTGTCCGGGATTTCAAATTTTTCAGTGTCTCTCGGCTATTTGCAGTTATATGGCGCTATTTTCTGGTGATTTGCACGCGGGTATTTTGAAATTAGTGGATTTGAAATGGAGTTTATAGTTTCGGGGAGAATTCTCAGAGATTTATCGTTGAGAGTTGTGCAGATGCACTTAGTTATTAATATCGTTGACACCTACATGAAATTTTCCCGAAAATCCCCAATTAAAATGAAAATTCAAAACAATCGATTATATTATTCAAATCTTCATTAAAAATATCGTCAACCTCAAGATCTATTTCCAAAAATCGCTAAAGTTTAAAATAGTCAATTTTTTGTAAATTGATAAATTAATAGACTTGAATTTTTGCCGGAAATTCCGAGTGGAAAGAACTCCGGGATTTTCTCCAATATTTTCCCTCTCAGTGACCTTAAACAGTACCGGGGTAAAACAGCGATAAAGCCACCCACCCCCTGTAATCCACCCCCAGAAGGATCTCCTAAACACCGAAGGGGTGTCTACACCCTGCGGAGTGTCTGGTGCATGCACACAGTGAGATTAGACCCTGAAGAGTGGCTACAACCCCGATTGCACCCCAGAAGTGGTGAAAAGGTCGTCGGTGGAAGGACAAAAGTGAAAGAGAATTCGAGGCTCACTCCTTCTCGACATTTCCAAGGGTTTTTTTTCTTCTTTTTTTTTTTCACCCCCGAACGAGTGCTCCTTGCACATCATCCCCCTTCAACCCCCTAAAAACCTACCCCCTCCCATTTCACTCCCCTTTGCGACGCCTCGGTAGTTTCGTTAAAAATTCAAGGTGCAATCACGTACGATGAATGGCTTCTGAACCTTGAGAGGATCTCCTCACCCTACCACTTCAGCATCCGGTTTCACCTCTGGATTTGTAAAATGGCGACGAGTGAAACTTCCAACCCCCATTTTTTTTTTAAAACATTCTTTCACTCGTTGTCCGTCGGGAGTGAGGGAATGCATCGGGTAAATCTCTGTCTAGGGACAATGTCCGAGGGGGTGGAAAGTGGGTGGAGTGGGATGAAAAGGGGGAGGCAGGGGTCAGTTGGGGAATTTTGTCTAATATTTATCGCAAGCTCCAGAAAGTTTCAAACGACTCCTCCGAGCTTTCTTCTCTTCTGGGGTAAATAACCGGATTTATGGGGTGAAATTTATTTATTTATGCGATTTTAACGGGATTAAAAGGATTTTTTTATTGGCGAGTGTGGAATATATTGATGGGGGTGATATTTCATGGGGATAGGATTTTATCGCGGGTGAATCAGGAGTTCGTAGGGTTTTTAGGGGTTTTAGGGATCTAGATATTTTTTTGGGCTTTAGGAATTTTTGAAAAATTCATTTTTTACATGATTTTTTCCATAGTTTATTAGATTTATTAGATTCAAGACGACGTATTTGAATAATATTATTCACAAATGTCATTGACGCTATTCTATTTGTTTTGAGTCAGAGTTATCTCTTTTCTCAATATTTACAAAAATGATAATTCGGTGAGTCATACGTGAATCACTCAGTAGGAAGTACCAAAGGCTTTCGCAAGGCCGTGACAAGATCATTAAAATTTTTCAATACTCAGAATCACTCGGCATTGACGTAACATAATGATAAAATCATGTACATAACTCTCATTACCATAAATCTCGACTCCAGCATTCAATAATTCACTTGAAAATAAAATCCAACATATCAATCAATCGAATCATTCCCCCTAAATCAAAAACAACCGAATTTTTCCATTAAAAAACCTTCCATTCACCGCAAATTGAATTAATGATTAATTAATTAATGATGATTCCACGATGATTTTAGCGTTTCCAATGAATTTCTCATTTTTCCATCGAAAGATTCAATTAATTCTCCGGAAAAATCGGGCGAATTAAATATTTTAATGAATATTATTATCTTTTTGTAATTATTTTTATAATTAATTACAGGCTCCAGGCAAATTAATGCTCGATGGCGCGGGCTGGCACGCAGCGCTGGAGGAATCCTGCCCCGGAGTAAGTATACGTATGTACAGTATCCATCCCACACACTTAACCATCATTATAAATAATCTAAAATAGTGCATGATTTGATCGTTTAATTGTCAGTGATATTCCATGAAATTCCCGGTGGTATGCAATCCGCTCTTTTAATATTCCCCAAGTGACGTCTGACGAAAACAACGGAAGACTCCATCCAATATCCGCATCTCCAATTCGTTCCCCAGGAGTTTGTCCCAAATCCACTCCATAAAATCAGAAAAGAGGGAAAAAAAAAAGATAATAGGAAGTAGAAAAACAGGAAGTTTCCAACTCATCAAGACAAACTGTGTCCCCTAACTTTGGAAAAAGTTTAAGGGGGTGGACATTCCGAGGATATTCCTCTCCTGGTGCTGACAATTCGCGATAATGAAGGCCAGTTGGTTATTAGGACATTCGCCTTATCGTAATTGTCTGATTTCGCGTTTTAAAATAAAATTATCGATTTAGTCTGCTAGATGTGAATCAAAAATGTGAATTCAATGAGACGTTAATTATCCAAAAGTATTGGAAAAGCTTTGGAAAAGCCTTGGAAAAGCTTTGGAAAATCTATTGTCAAGGTGACAGTGGAAATGTTAATGCACGTGGATAAACCACTGGTGGGGAATGGAATTTTTAATAGTGGCTTTCATCTTTTCAATAAGACAGATTTCTTTTTCCTCCATTCCTCGCATATTCACAAACGTAGTAAGTGGATGAAATACATTGTTTGAATTTTTATTCCACGTCTCGGGGAATTGGAATGACGAGTAATTTTTCATTGAGGAATTTCTAGCGTAGGGGAATTTACGACTGAAATTTCATTTTTTTTGTCGTAAATTCACAGTGGTGTAAAGGGAATCGGGATATAGGATGCATTTGTGACTGTTTTATCGCTCTTCTGGTTGATATTTCGTGGGATCAAGGTTTTCGGGTCACCAGAGTGACTTCAGGTCGACGATGAGAAAATTTCCGATGGATTTTCATCTGGAGGATTTCCAAACTTCCAGGCGCGTTTATTTTATGGATTCCACAATCGAGAATATGAATTCCCAAATCGAAAATATATATTTTCGAAAAAGAAGTCTAAATTACCGAATCGGAAATATAAATAAATCCCAATTGGAGTTTATTTTCCAATTGTGTAATCTAGAATCCACTCACAATTAATTGATCATCATTGATGTTGCTGAAATTCCTGTGGACCTCGTTTTTTCATGGAAGAATTTAAATCTCCCTCGATAAAATAAATAAAACCCTGGAATTCGCTCTTCGTCTCAGCTGGTAGACAATCGATAGAGATGCAAACGAGATCTCATTTCAAATCGAATAACATCCTCGATTGAGCAAGTTAAAGAAAAGAAAGAATTCTCTTCGAGGAATTCCCAGCAGCATAAGAAATTAACGCATGGTATTACATTTTGCACTTCATGTTCCCATGGTTTAGCTCATGTCTGGGGAATTAATAGAGATACAGGGAAGAACATGTTCTCATTTTCGAGAGGGTGCATATTTAAAAAAAAAAACATCACATCTTGATGAAGACACATTTCCTCTTCAGCGAAACGAGCAAGAACGAGCAAGAACGAGCTATCCGTTAATCCTCGTATCCCAGTGAATACCTGAAGAAGCGAATATTCACCACAAAATACACAACGACAACCACCAAAAAATTTCCAGAACTGTTAAAAATCTGAGAGAAGAAAAACCGCAATTTTCCGGCTCCTGACCTGACATGGAAAAAACGTAAAAGCCTAGAACATGAATAACGGAGGCATTAAACCATGTAAAATGCCCGAGTGACCGACACTGATGTCCACCAACCCCATCTCCATGGGGTAGCTTCCAGCTCATCAATGAGGTAAACCAAGAATGAGCCCCAAAGAGTACAAGAGTACAGTAGAGGAGACGCTGGTGAAAAAGTGATAAAAAAAAAAAGGAGAAAATGAACGTTGGAAGGTTAAAATGAGAGGGTAGTCTAGTCTAGGGGATGGAGGGGTTGGAGTGGTTGTAGCCAGACGCACACCGAGGGATCGATACGGGTCGTAACGACGCGCGTCGTAACGCCTGGTGGGTGGGTGGTTCTTTGGGGTGAGGGTGAAGCTTGAGAGACCATCTGAGTTAGACCACCCCCTCGAGCACTTCTGTAGCTGAGACAACTGAGACACGTCCCAAGGTGTCTGAATGCATCTTGATCCGGTAGAATTGATCGATCTCGTCCTGAATTTCTCTCTCTCTTGGGATATCACTCGGTTCTGGATCTCAATGTTGAGTTGATCCGTGAAATGACGGATCCTGGACTCAGGAGCATCAGTGGTCTCGGTGGAGTTTTCGGTGATGACTCCTGGGGTGCATTTGGCAGACTGATGTTTTTTAATGGACACGTGCACTGATTGCTACCATTGGTTATTGTCTAGGGATCAATGGAGGTCTTCAAGGATTTTAAATGAGCTTGACCTAGTCTGGATTGAGGATCAGAATAATTACCAGATGCGATGATCGCAGAAGAAATAGAAATACTCTTCAATTTTGATTTGGCATTCATTCAATTCTTCGAGTTGCTCTTGAATTGAAGGGATAAATCCAAAACATAAACTCCATTGAAGCAATTATACATTGAATTCCATAATATCTGGACGTGATGGGGGAGAATCTCTAGCGATTCATCCCTCGAACCTATAAATGATGATTGTAATATTTTCGAGTCGTCAGACAGAATGACAAGGGAAGTGCGCCATAAAATATGAGTTTCGGGTGGAGTTATGTATTTTTCTTGCGTGAGTTTGTTGGATCTGGCTGTGGATCAAGAAACTTGTCCCCTGGGATCATCAATCCCCGAAGATTTTGGGAATTATCCGTGGAAATGTGAACATTCACTTGCAGGAATATCCGATTTTTCATTTAATTCTGTCAAATGATATCCCATTTTCCTCGCGATTCATTACCAAAAATTTCCGAATCCATTCACTTGAATATCTGGAAGAGAATATATTTTAGCTCATCCACTTTTGAGCTGAATCATTTTTACCCAGACTCGAGATCATAATCGGAGATCTCTAGATTTTTCAAGATATTGAAGCCACAAAAATTTCTGATGGACTCTAATTGAAGCCATTTGTGAAGACATTGAAGAATCCATCGTGCTGATGGAATTTAATGGAAGCATCTGCTGCTGATCGATACAACGGACTCGTGACATCATTAGACTGACGTAAAATTATCGAGAGGAGGTCCTGGTTTTATATTCTGGATTGATAGAAATAGGGAAATGTTTCTTTTGATATCGATTAGGTGTCAGTGCTGGAGAAGAAGTCTCTCAAATGATTCCAGAGAAGTCAAAATTATTCCTGTCATTTTATTTGGAGAAAAATGAGTTTTCCATATTTTAATAAATATCGAATTATTTCGATAACGAGTGATTCATGTAATTGCACCCACATCTGCATTAGTTGTTCCTATATTTCGCAACTAATGGGAATTTACGATTGCTCGCATATTGAACAGCGATTTCTCATGATAAATTCACTTTGTTCTCTCCAATTGTCAATTTGCAAATAATTTTCGGTTACCATACATCATTTACCGATTTATATCATGAATTCCATTTCTACTAATTAATTCCGTCGAGTTTTTGCTGAAAATCCATAGAAAAACGGAAAATTTAGAAAATCCAGACTGTTAATATTCGGAAATTAATATTAAATTAATGAATATTAAATCAATATAATTAATAGGTGAATGACAAAGTAATTATATTGATAGAGCCCTCAATAATTTTTTGATTAATAACCGAATAATTACAGGTAATGCGAAATTTTAATTTTTCACTCATTACAGAATAATTACAATTCTCACGTACATATCCACAATTACAAATTCTAGGCAGTTGTGGGTGCTCGTTACTTGGAATACAACTCGTTCAAAATAACATCTCCGGAAGTATTTGAAAATTATCGTATCAGGGGTCTCCAGTCATCGGGTTTGAAATTCTTTTGATATCGATTACACGTCTGTGGATAAAAGGTAGATGTAATACTAGTGGGGAAGAGCTTTCAGTGAATCCCAAAGGCTTTGCAACGTATCCCATTTTCTATCAATTTTTTTTATCCAATTTGTCTCGGATTACTCGACCCTTTCGTACCTCGATATCATCATTAGAAATTGTAATTCTGGTATTAATTCCTCTCAGTCAAAATATTTTCAAATCGACATCTCTGTTGTGAGGTAATTAGCCTCGATTTTCCGTGAACTCCAAAGAATTCCAGAATTGAATCCCAAGTTTTAGCAATTACTCCTAGGATGGCACGGGATTTGAAGTTTCTCAGACAAATTCTAGAGTGAAATGTGTCTCATTCGAGTTTATGTTCAGAATAATTCCCGAATATTCGAGAGATCGCGATATAAAGGTACGAACATTTATCAAAATACCAGAGGAGTTAAGAATTTTGGCTTCTCTTCCTGAAATTGGCTCTCATTTCTATTCAAACATTTCAAATCCTCGAATCGATTTCACGCTCTGCAATCTTCATCAAACATCTCACCCCGAAGACTCATTCATTTTCCCAGGGATTTTAATCCTATCTCCACGAAGGACAAAGAGTGAAAAGGGGTTTTTTTAAATTGAAGAAAAAGAGAATCAACTATTTATCTTAAAACTCTCTATCCACCTCCTTATCACCAAGGACGGGAATACATATCTCAGACCTTTGGAGAACTTGAGAATTGAATATATAAGAGCCATCTCAAACGAACAGGATATTTTTTCAATCAAAAGGATATCCCCAGTGGATGGAGAGAGACTCGAGATAGGAAAAGGGGGAAAAATGATAAAGAGGGTGGAGGAAAAGAAGAGAAAAAAAATGAAAAATTGAGTGAACGCTCATTGCCTCAGATGAGGGGTAAAAAGGAAAGGACAAAGAGGTACGAGAGATAGGAAATTCGTTTGACCGACGATTATTATTCTTTCCTGAAATCGATCAAGAGCACCATCAAATGGAGATTAAAATCCGTGTACGTAGTTCTCCTATTCAAATCATTTCTCATCCCTCACCCCCTCAAATTCCATTTTATCAATATTTTCACCATTTTCATTCATCTCCACGAGTTCCTTCATCTCACTGATGAACTCTCATCAAGACTCGATCGACAATTCCGTCTCTTCAATTTCCTTTCCATGACTGTCTTCATTCTACGACTCATCACCCGAAATTCCGAAAAATTTTCCAATAAAAAAATCGCGATCGCCCTTCTGATTCTTGAACAGCCCCGTGTTATCACTCCGGTCAAAAAAATTTCTGGTTCAATCCATCGAAACCGATGGACCGTTAAAGCCCCTAGAACGGCAATTTAGGGTGACACATTTTGCTTTTCCCTCGATTTCATTTAAATTCGTAAAAAAAAATTGATCGACAAGGCGCATCTGACCGAGAGATTATCTACCTCGAAGGTAGATCGATGAAATATCATCAGGTCCATGGAGATTGAAAGCTGCGCGCGTTCAAATGCATGTGGATAAAATAGAGTGACACGGGGTACATGTGTACATCTCAAGTGGTATATAGGTAAATACATATTTGTATATATGGTATACAAAATTCAGATACGGATGAGGTAGCTATCAGAACGGTTGGCCAACGATTGCTCCAGGCAAACGTTAACGAACACAAGATATAGAGGTGGTAATGAACGTCACACCCATCCAATTCCACGGGAGCTAGTGGTTGAGGGATGATTGGCTCGTTCTCCACGTATGAAGGGCACTCACCTCTCGTGAATATTATCATTAAGATAGAAAAATGATGGAGGATGCAGTGATTGATGTTTGTGGAGGAATCCTTCATGCAGCTGTTGAAGTTCTTTTTGGAAAAGCTCTTCATCCAGATTTTCACCTTTCTCTCTTGTCTCTCATGTCTCTCATGATTTTTGGAAAGGTGATTTATTCAGTCGATAGTTTTGAAACTGTATAGACTGTAGAACTGTATTTGATTCGCAAATGCTTCAGGCACTGGGTCGAAATGAATTTTTTTTCCTTTGGGGATGCTTGACTATTCAATCAGTTTCGACCGATTTTTCGACCCGCCATTTGCATCCTGGGGATCGGGCTTTGATGGGATCGTTTGATGGATTGGATGAAGGGTCAGGAACATCGGGATGTGGGTGAATTATGGAGTCGCGGGTGGAGGTTCTTCATTTGGAGTTGAAGAGCAGAAGTTGTCAACTTTGATTCAACCGATTCGATCTCGAATTGAGTATCGAAGGACGGAAAATCATAATGAAAGTCTCGACTTGAGCTAGAACTCCACCGAATGCTCATTTTGAAACAGAAAAATCTCAAGCGATCAGACTAATCAACTAATTAGTAAATATTTGGATTCTTCGTGCCAACACCGACCGTTGGAATAAATCAACATCAATCCGAGAGACCACCTGCACGGATTCATCAAACAGGCAATCAGAGGCATCAGCACCTCCACCATCAGAGTCCCCAGTACCCAATGTTCAAAATCGGCAAAAGAATTCCCAAAATCGGTATGACCATCGCCAAATTCCGTAGAGCACACGGAAATTCAATAAATCTCATGATGAAAAAGAAAAAATGATGATTCCAACGCGACATTAACGAAGTTTGCTGAACCGATTGACCCGACTAGAGAAGAGATCCTCCCCACCAGCTTTATCATTAGACCAGACATAGCTACAGCGTTAATGAAGTGACCCAGAAAGTTGTGGATCGGACGAGCCACATCCCCAGAGGGCAAAATGCGCGCGTCCAATTCGATTAGCCCATCAGGTTGCCCCTCTCATCCCCCATTATCCTTCCTCCAATTTTCTCAATAATTTTTTTTTCCTCTCTCCCATCCTCTTTGTCCCCTTCTGGCAAATATCGTACACGACGCGGGATTATCCCATTTACCTTTCATTTTTATTTTTCACCTTCGTCTTCCTCACCTATATTCCAACGATTTCTGATTGGACAACGCGGGGGAAAAAGCCGATATTGAGTTTGAAAAATAGAGATGGTGAGAGTTAAAAGCTGATGCATTTCTTACGTGACCCCGTAATCAGCTAAAGGTCGTAAAATGCATCATTTATGACCTTCGTCATGGTTTAATAACACTTTATGGTGTGGTAATGCAGCCCACGTGGTTATTTATCAAGCGCTAATTGATGGTGATGATCGGTATCGCGTGGTTTGATTGATTGGATCTTGTTGGTGGGAATTGATGGGGATGAAAAGGTGTGGCGAATCATTCTTGGAATTGCGTTGGATCATTGGTGCACGGTTTGATTTGATTTTAATTGAGATTATCCTCGGGATGAGGATGACTCCGTGGGTGGTCGATCAGACTCGTCATTCCATTGTGACACGATTTTTTTTTCTGTCAGCTGTCATGGGGTCGTCAATGATCTCATTTATTTCTTTATATTCCTCGATTTTTTGTAAGAATTACGATTTTGTAATCTCGCGCCTTTAGGCGGATCAATAAGGAATCGTGGCTTCACGATTTCGAGATTTTCGAGATAATCGATTGTGTGAAGCGTGTCCCTTTTAGAATCGAAATTACGAGAGACCGGGTATGAACCGATTTCTGTAAGACAGTTACGATTTTGTAATCTCGCGCCTTTAGGCGGACCAATAAGAAATCGTGGTTTCATGATTTCGAGATTTTCGATATAATCGATTGTGTCAAGCGTGCTCTTTTTAGAATGGGATTTAGAATAGGATAAATACGTTATCACGAGTTCCTGTCCGCTTTGTCCTTCAAGATCATAAAAGGTCATGGCTCGTTTACAAAGTCGTGTATGACTGATTCAAAGTTCAATATTGTAAAAATTTAAGAATCAATTCAGTTAGAGATTAATGAATTACTTCAATTGATTCAATATTCGAGTTATCGAGTTGAGCTCATGAAGTTGTTAGAGAGTAAAATTGATTTTGTCATTGGATGTCATAACGAAGGAATTGACAAAATTTCACAAATTTTTGGAAGCAACTCCACGAAGTTCCAATGATCTCAAGTTCTCCGTGAGGAGAATTACTCCATTTAGACTGATCCACTTGCCGTAATAACTTCATTATTCCTTGAATACTCCCATTACTTCGAAAGACTCATAATAACTTCACCGATAATACCCAGTACTTCGCCCCATTCATTTTAACATGAAGATTCTCTTCATTTTCTGCGGCATTACTATGATATCTGGCCATTATTACATCAATTACCACTTTAAGAATTTTCACCGAGCAATGGAACTCCATCGGACATTCCGCGAATGCCCCGATTATCCGATTAATTATCAATCAAACGATTCGTGATTAACTATTAACTCTTCGCGAGATTCCTGATATGCAATGTCAAATCATATCGAAATATTTGACATGATTGGATGCATTGCCATCAATTACAATTCCATCATCACCCTTTGTACTCCATTCAATTCTCAATCGAGATTATCTTCATTCCATGTCCTAAATCCAATCAGATTGCTAAGACATGTCCTAATTAGCAGCCCCAATTAATGCATGACAAAATGTTGATAATGTTAAAAAAAATCATGACAACTAAATAATGAAATGCATGAACTAATCAGTGGCTTTGAGTGTCTCATGTCATACTGGTGATTAATTAATCTTTGTTGTTACAATAGAAAATTGTTTTTGGGTTTGTTTTGTTTTATAAATGATGTTTTAGAGGTGACGATGTTCAACGATCGATTGAACTTCTGGACAAGGTGCTCTCTGAGTACGACGAGCACGGTACAGAGAACAGTGGAGTCAGTGAGATTGAGACTGGGTGTGAGGAAGGTAGCAGCGCCTCGGGCGTCGGTGAAGCCGTTGATGAGGGCGACGCCGACGCCGACGCCGACGCCGACGCTGACGCTGACGCCGATGGTGAGGCACGTCGTGGCAGCAGTACTGAGCCAAGCATTGGCCTCACACCAGAGGACGAGAGCCCTTCTCTAGGTTTGCGCACTATTTTATTTTTTTACTTATTTTCCCATTTTTTCAATTGTTATTAATTAATTAAATAATTAATTAATAAAAATGATAATTAATTTGCAATAATATAAATAAATAATATGAATGTCAATTAATTGATATTGTCAAAAGATTGAGACTATTACTTTTATTTATTTTAATGTTAATTAATTTTTTTTCTTGTCGTCATTCATTTTATTTTATTTTGCCGTACTATATCTTGTTTCGCCTACAAATTTTATTTCTTTTCCCTCTTCTGTTTACATTTTGTACATTTCTATTCTCGGAATACGCTCACGTGAAACGAGGAAAAATAAATAATACTATTGCTTTTCCTCTTTCACTCGCTGACGTAAGGAGATTCTTTTCCGAGTTATTTCTGATGCCGGGGAGAACAAAGAGATACGGGAGTACAAACTCTCAGGATTTTTAGTAGTATCCGGGGATTGACGCATTGAATACGTGGGACAATTTACGATTTGGAATTTTTCGAATTTATCTTTTACCCGTGATTTTTACGGAATTTGAAAAATATTTTTCATCATTTCAAAATAATAAACTCTATACAGCTATAACTGACTATAATAAAAAATATAAAGCATAAACAATCGAGAGATAAAAATTGAATTTCGAATTTCCCGGGCTGGCTAGTGCCCCGGAGGCGGGAGATTCAAATTGTAAAATGAAAAATCTTCAGTTTTGATGTTTAATGATTAAACTTATGAAATATTGATAATTTGATGCAGGACATCAGTCCGAAGACGACGGTTACATGAGTATGAACGGTAGGAAAGCGAAAATGGCTCTGGTAGCACTTCGTCCAGTGCCGGATTGTCCTGAGCCCCAGGAGTCGTCAAATGCGACGAGTAATGAGTTTCCACCGCCGCCGGAAGAGGCTGAACGCATTATCTCCACTCTCCTACCCATGTAAGTACATCATCCACAATTTGTCGGGCATTTACCCCATCCGGGGATATAACATAACGAAAGCAAACGCATCATCTGACTCCTCGAGCTTTCCCCTAGGGACTATTATTGTTTTTCTTGGAGCAGAAGTTGAGATTCCTTAAACGACAACTATCTTGATCCCCTCATATTCACTCACGACAATTTCCAATAACTTCTCCTCTTTTATACCAAAATCCCTTTTTTATCTTTGCTCTTAACTCCACGTCTCCGATATGTAGAGTCAAATCCATAAATATTCCACATGAATTTCAAGTTCCGAGGAACAGAACGGAGAATAAAATATTCCTGGAATCATATCCCCCCGGAAATTACAGGACAAATGCATCCCCCAAATATGTTCCTTTCGGTTTTAGAATTCTCTTAAAGAATTCGCAAAATGTCTGGGACTTGATGATCTTCACCGTAAAAAGTATCACGACAAAGTTAGTCAAGAAAAATATATAACTCCACCACAAACTCTTGTTTTACGATCGTCCTCCCCAGTAATTTAATTTGACGATTCAAGATATTACCCCCATTGGACGGTTTTCAGTGTCTCACCGGGAAATTCCTCGAAGCGTCGTACCACAAGTGGTAAAAATTCACGGAGATGTGAAAAACAACCGGATGAGTCAAATCGTAGTCGTCATCATCGTGGCCACACTGTCACAAGCCAGACAACTCTTGTAAGTTATCGAAAATTCAAAAATCCTGAATTTATTGATGCAAATAGTAAAATTCTCATTCACCCTTCGCCTCGTACTTGTATAATTGGAGATAAAAGCTACTTTTACAGGCAAATTCTCTCCCATTCCCTCAGTCTCTTCTTTTTTTTCTTAATTCTCTTCTTTACGCTTTTAGGGAGAGCTCTTTTATTAATGTCGACTGAGAAGTTGAGCTTTCAAAGACGGAAATAAAAGTTTTTTCATAAGAATTTTAAAATTCTTATTATAAACTCTCATCAACAAAAGGAACATTTATACTTTATTTTTACTGGGAAAGAAGTTTCATTTATTTTTATTCATCGTGCAATGAAAGCTTAGATTCATCGGACATTTTACATCTCTCCCTTTTACTTCATTATCCAAAGTATTTTCCATATTTTCATTAACAACTTCTTTCGCATCAATCAATAATTTCAATGACTCTCCAAAACTCGAATATCCGAAAAAAAAACCGATAATTTTCAGCCAAAAACTCGTCGTCGAAAGCTCCACAGCTTGTGGGACCGTTCGGTATCGTCAGACCCACGTCGCTCGTCAGTTTCGTCAAAATTCTCGAGTCTTCCCCACGACATTCCAATCACATACGACTGGATATTCGCCCCAACCCCGACATATACCCCATCAAACGATCGTCGTCGAAGAAGACGTTCCTCAAATCATTCGGATCCCCAAAACCACCAAAACGATTCGAACGCTCTTCAAAATCCACCATCACCCTCGAAAGATCATTCTACCGATTATCCCCCCTCATCCCACCCCCCAAAAGATGACGATTACGACGACGAGGAGGACGATAACGACGAGGAGATGGACGATGAGGATGAGGAAAAAGCTGACGAGGGTGACGATGACTCGCGAGTCGATCAGAATCACTCGGATTCGAGTTGCGACGGTAGATTCTCAAGGAGACGACGAAGAAAACGAAAGGGATTGGGTCGTGGTGCATCGGAATCCGAGTCAGAGCGTTACTCAATGCCCAGATCATCGTCAGTGTCCGTTGAGCGTTATTCAATGCGAGCCAATTGCGATTCGTCTGATTTTTCACGCGCCAATTCAACCTCCAATGAGAGATTTCATTCGGATTTTTCTCTTGCCGTTGCATCAGCCAGTTCAAATGATCGAGTGTCTGCACCAACGTCCGATCCATTCTCCATAAGAAATCTTGATTTTGCCGCATCGGCATTCTCACTGGGAAGGGCTGACTCCTGCTCGGAGAGATTTTCCGACGTTTACTCTAAAAATTCTGATTTCTCAACGAGAAATTCAACGGACTTCAGAACACAGAGCGAGGAGGAGGAGAGATTCAGCGATGACTCGCTGGAGGAGATGCTGAGAACAGTACCACCACCACCACCACCACCACCACCAATGCCTCCACAGCCAAGTGTCTGCAAGAGGCACTCCATTGCTTGGGAGGTATCAATGGATGAGGATCCACTCTATGCACCTGGTAGCACTAAAGTTGTTGGCAGGAGGCGAAGAAGGAGCAGTGACGTCTCCAGTGAGTTTATTTATCATTATTTTCATTGATGTTCAAGTGATGTCAAGTTACTCCAAATTATTTAGTACAACCCATTAATTTGCAGGTATCGGTTCAGTCTCAAAGCTCCGAGACCTGGACTACGACTGGCAAGAGCCTCACCGTCGTTCAACAACCGACGACGACCTGATATCACCATACTCAGCGGATTCATCGACAAACGAGCTAGATCATCCCTTACCAAAACGGGATTACCCAACTAAAAATGGTACATACGTTATCAGAGGTCGTACCCGAAGGCGCGAGCGTAAACCCCTGAATATATCACCAGGTGGTACAAAGAGCCGAAGCAAGGAGACACCAGATAGTGTCTTCAAGCGTTACTCAAACACATTTGACGATATAAAGAGTCTCTTGAGAGAGGGAAGACTGGAGGGGCTGAATGAGCCACCACCAGACTTTGTACCACCAGTACCACCAGATCTCGTAAGGGTTCTTTCCCTTCCAGCCTTCGACGATAACAAATCACCAGATGACGATCACGCAAGACGCAACCAAAACAACCTCAACAGTCTGGATGATTATCTGTCATCGTCATCATCATCATCACCACCACCTCCAGCACCTGATTTAAAGTGCAACGGTGTAACAAGGGCGTCTCTACCGATGTCCAAGAGTCTGGACATTCAGGTGAGCAGGCACGAGCCTGAGGAGGTGAGAAAGATGAGCAAAAGGGCCTCGTCGATTTCCAAAAAGGACAGTCGATTTGAACCATCAAAAATACCCGTTAACGTACTGATCGAGGATCAGATCGTCAAAAAGGCTCTTAATGAGAACAGGCGACAACTGGAGAAGGTCAGCGATGCGATAAAAGAGATCGAGAGTGTGAGGAACAGTGAGAATTTTGTTGAGGCTAAGAGGAGAAGCAGGAGGGATGATGAGGAGGAGGATGCTCTTGAGGATGGGGAGGATGAGTACGATGGTAGAAGGGAGATGCTTGAAGAGATCGTTTATGGATCTGGCAGGAGGATCAAGGAGGTAGAGGGATTGGGAAAGAATGATCAGAGGCAGATTGAGAATGTCATTGACGCCATTTTGGAGGACTCGAAGAATCCGGATTTTCAGGTTTGATTATGAGATCAATTACCTGGGGATAAATATGTGGGTGAAATTGGGGCTTCCACTGGATTCCCCTTTGCACCCTTTTTTTTCTCCCCACTTTTTCTTATTTTATTTGCCCTCAATGTTCGCATGATTTAATTGTACCATCAGGTGAGTGTCGAAGTCCTGGAATTTCCTCCACTCCCACCGTCTCCAGTAGAGGAGGCGGATGAAGAGTCATCGGATATAGCGGTTCCACCAGTGACGGTATCGAGTCATTATGGCTCACACAGAAATCGTCCAACACGAACGATTGAGTACAGACCACGTGTACCTCCTCATAGAGCTGCCCTGGATATAAAGGAGCACAGGACTTCCTTGGATACCACCAGATCCATGGACGCTGGGTACACCAGGGGGAGAAGAACACCGACTGTTGCTTCCAACTCTAGACGAGATGTTCCAGTTGAGAGACGAACACTTCCAACTGATCTTCCAGGTACAATGATGAATTGAATGGAATGTCAAATTATCTCATACAAATTTTGTGAGTGGAGTCATAAAAAAAAATCCCATGTTAATTCCACCCTCAGGTCCATCCCGACGTAGAACATCAACCCGAGCATCACCTTCTGGTGATAATCCCATGGGTACACCACTGATGGGCACAATAGCACCACCAACCAACACCGGAATGCAAACATCATGCTCACTACCTGAAACTCCCGTATTCGCAAGGGGCAGTGACATCACCAGGACACCACAGCATACTTCAGGGAATACTTTGTCAACGACAACTTCAACAAATTCAACAGCAGCAACACAACCCAGGAGACAGCCTGGATGGTATGCACCCACCACTGCCACCACCGGAGGGTAAGGAGTTGTTTGTTCACGAGTTTCAGACACTGGGGGTGTGGGAGAATGAGAAATTGTCTAATTGAATTGGTGAGGAAATTTCCGCTGGAAAACACGGTAATCTTATCAAATCGGGAGGGAAACGTCTGGTAAATTATGGTGAAAGTCCCATTGGATGTTGTTTCGAAAATTACGTGCCACTTCGATGGGAATATCACTGGTAATTTTTAGGGGTTCTTACAACCCTCGAGCCCTTCAACGCCTTGAGATATTCGAGTTTACGACTCGAATTTTCCTGATGAATGAATTTTCCATTTCTTCAGAGACCCACGGAAAATTCTTGAAAACTACAATTAAATTGTCAATTTCTCTCGTATATTTTGTAATCGTATGATAAATAATGAGTTATTTATTTGAATTTCAGGTACAGAAGGAACAATCCTGGATTGGAACAGGCGATAATTGGTACAGAGTTACTTCGTCTTGCTGGTGGACCAAATCGTGGATGGTATCCAACTCGTCGTGCTGGTAATCAGCCACGTCCAGCGTCGATAGAGCATTTGGAGCGTCTCAACAGTGCCTACGAGTCTCGTTTACCAACAACTGGAGAACAGAGAAAACCACTGACACTACCAACAAACATCACACCCAACAAGTACTTCGGACAAAGTAAGCACAGCACAGCAGCATCGGGTACACGTGAGGCACTACGGCGGGTCACTAGCTTACTCATCAAGAAAGGTAAGTAAGGGGTTTAATGTTCAATCACCATCCCATCGTAAAGTGTTGTTTTGTTGACGACGAGGGTAATATACAGATTAATGCCTGTTTATTTTGAATTTTTCCCCTCGGGGCGACAGTTGAGTGAAGAATTGATTGAAATTTTAATCAATGACGCGATAAAACCTCGCTGTCACGATTCTTTCAGGAATATCTCGGAATCTAACGCAGATATCGATATTTTTCGTATGACGTCTTTTGTAGAGCGAGATTAAAGCTGGAAAAAAGGATTTCACGAAATTTTGATATCTCTCTTAGATTCGGTGATATTCTTCAAATTATCAGTGACAGAAAAATCGAATTGGCACTTTTTAGGCTTTCACTGATGAATTCATTAGAGGAAACTGGGAAAATTGGTTAAATTGAAATTGTTGAAGTACATGGCTTTAATGAATTCTGGGAAGATTTAATGTCGACATTATACACCGGTGTAATGAATTTTTAGAATGAAATACCGTCTCGACTAAACCATTTTATATCTCCTAAATGTCTCTTAAACATTTATTTATCGTGTTCTCCTTCGCTCAACTATCGAAATCAATATTCAGAGAGTTCATTGCATTCTCCCTGTGATTAGAAAAGTTTATCTCAATTTTGCATGCGGAATAGCCTCTCAACACTTTGGAATGAATCTGAAATTCTCAATTCTCTTCCTGCAACTCCCAAAAACATTTACCCTCTACCTCAATCAATATCTGATCCAAAGTGAATTCAAAATATTAATTATTAATAACAAATTTCCGAATAATTTCTATTCGATTCATTATCTTCTATTCACAATAAATATTTTTCACTTTCATATCTTATAAATATAATATAATATATATTATAAATATAATTATTATATTATTAATCATGTATATCAGAGTGAAATATTGATTTCCAATGAGAAAAATAGAGACTCAATGAATATCGGTGGAAATTTTTTTCTACGTCTCGAGAATTCTTTGGAGAATGATCTTGAAAACACCCACGTGTATCCCAGGGCTCGATAACTGCCTCCATCTGCTGGTAGACCATCAAATTATCCCCCAGAATCCTCACCACGTACCACAAAATTTTCTCCCCTCCCACATCTCGTGGCCTTGGGGGTTACAAATCGAGTGTACAAGGACTGAAAACTAGTCTCAATGTCTCGAATCACTCGTCTCTTTTCTATCCGGTCATTCCAGGTTTGTGAAGGCCTTTATCCAAATCCCACCGTCAATTGATCCCATAATATTTTTCATTCCCCATACGCCATTTCCATTTTCTCAGTTCCAATATGAATTGATCCCCTGTAATACCGATTTATAAAAGCCCCTCGAGCTATTCCACTAGAATAATTCAACGAGATATTTCAAAATATTTTTTATTGGCTCAATTTGCAGTTAAGTTCACATACATTATATTTATTTATATTAATTATTTATATCTATAGTCTATTGCTGATCTATTTGATAATTTATTTGTTTATTTATATGTAAATTGAGCTGATAATCGATACGAAATATCAATTGAATAACGATTTTCGGTGATAAATCGGTTATCGTGGGAGTTTTTTTAATATTTTCGTGAGATCTTTCTATTATTTTGAGAATGTCTTGTGCCCTCAAGATGTTGGACACTCTGAATAAACCCCTGAACTGATAAGACCATAAATAAACTACCGATAACAATTGGTTAGGTGACTTGCACTGTGTGCATTGTTTTCACCGCAAACTTCCTCGATGGCTCGACCTGGTGATAAGGTTTTGTGCCCCACTGTTGGGTTTCGATTGCTTAGGTAAATGAGGACACGATGTGATAGCTCGTCTACGAGGAGAGACCTAGTCTAGGTCGGAAATACCGATTTTTCCAGTCGTCCTCTTTTTTTTCACGATCGATCGTTTCACCGACAGGTGTAAAACGAATTAAATCGTTCGTAAATCATTAAAATTGTTTTATTTGAAAGCTAGGGAAATCTCTCACAGAATCCAAGAGAATCTGTTTTGCCCCCGTGTACCTGAAATCCACGAGTTCAAATCTGCGTTTTTCCGATATTTTCCTTACAATCTCGTTTTCTCGATACCTCTAAGGGTTTCATCCCTAAAAGGGTCGCCTAGTCGACTTTTCCACTAGAAATTTTCCTGTCTACACAATACCCCAACCCACCATCCCCCCTGGAACCCAAGAAAATCCAATTGTTCCCTTCGGAATTCGATTTTCCTGAGAACTCGATTACTCGCAACATCTCCGGCATTAAAACTGCACGGAAAAATCTTCTCCATCCTTAAAAATCCCAGTGAAATGATAAAATTACTATCTGAATCTCTCCTACCCATGACCCAACATTTTTTTATCCCACCGCAATTAAAAAACATTTTAAAAACTAGAAAAATACATGAGACTGAATCGATCGAAATTCACTTCACCCTCAAAGTGAAAATACAATATTTCAAAGAAATTCAATTATCTCAGAATGAAAGAGAGTTAGGGGGTTGTAAATAGTTTCATTGGAAAGTCCGGAAAATTTCCAATTCCATCCACTCCTCAATAACCCATTTTGTCCATAATTTATTTAAAAAAACCCGCAGAATATTCCGGTGTACGAACCACAACAAGTGGCAAAAATCGTGAGAAAAAATCGACAAATAAAAAAATGATAAAATACCGTAAAAATTGTAGAGAAAAAAAATGACAAGAGTCGAAATATATAAAATATCAAGACAGATGTTTAAAAAATAGAAAATGAAAATGAAAGTGAGACCACCGGATGGTCTCCTCTAAAAATATGATAGACCAACGGAGGGGACCATCTGCTTGGAAAAAAAAAATATATAAACCCAGGTCACTGATTATCCCAGACAAACCCCTCCTCTTTACCCAAGTGCGAGTTTTCCAGGGAACAAAGACCAGGGTATACAAAACAAAAAGATAAAAAAGAAAGAAAAATCTGAAAAGGATGGAAAAGCCAGAGGCAGGAATCGTTACTCCCAACTCGTCTGCAAACTCGTCTGCATTCACGATTATTTCCCCTCTCAGCCCCACTTACTAGTGCAGTAAAATCTCCCTTATGCAATTTTTTTAGATCTGAAAAAAAAAGTATTCTCAACTATTTCCTCGGAGTCCCTTGAAGTGCCGGAAAAATCCACCACTTGAATTCCGAATGGACAATTTCATAAATCCAAGAAACTAAAAAATTGATTTCCCCGAATTATTTTCCCCAGCTAACGAAGACGATCATGTAAACCCAGAAAACATCATGAGTGATCCCCTCATCCCTCAAATTAACACCCCAAATCCCCAATTAACTCGATCCCCATAAATCCCTCTAGACCCCTGGAATCACTCCACCGAGATAGAATTATCAACAAAAAACAGAATCTCCCATTGACAATACAAAGAGACAACAACAATGACACAAAACCGAGACAATAAAAATTCCCGAAACAATAGTGATACCAAAGGAGAATGAACCGTAGCCGTGAGATGAACCCATTGGAGATAAATCCACGAGTGAGGGAAATATATACCACCCACTGTTGACTTCACCCCAACATTATTGATTTATTCCAAGGGCGAATAAACTCAACTCTACATGGCAAATGCCAAAAGCAACTCCACAACACAACACCCCACCCACCACCCACCACCCACCCACCCAATGCACGAACTTCCTGCTCTTTTTTCCCCCTTTTTTCCTTTTTTTTTCCCTCCCCCTTTTTTTGTACTCTCTGCCTAATCTGCATGAGCATTCATCCCTCCAGGAATGAAGAGTCTGCTTGCTGAAACGTGCGAATTCAATAGAACTTTTTATCCATCACTTTTAGTTTTTATCACCGATGGAGATTTGTGATAAGGGGTTAGCTCTCAATTTTTTTAATTATTTTTTTCGGGAGGAAATACTGCAGGAATTGAATCTGTGGGTTAAATCGATTGATAAAACCCGTGGGTAAAATTTGGGGATCAAATCTGTGGGTCAAATCGGTAGATTAAATTGGTGGATTAAATCTATGTATTCAATCGATTGGTCAAGTCTGTGGATCAAATCTGTGAGTTCAATCGACGAATCAAATCGATAGATTAAATTGGTGGGTTAAATCGATCGGTAAAACCTGTGGGTAAAATTTGGGGGTCAACTCTGTGGGTCAAATCAAATCAATAGGTTAAATTGATGGATAAAATCGGTGAATTAAATCAATTGACAAAATTTCTGGTTCAAATTCACTGGCAAAATGCGCGGGTTAAATCGGCAGATTAAATTAATGGGTCAAATCTGTGGGTTAAATCGGCTATTTTTATGGCATTCCGGAATTGTTTATGATATATAATTTTGTTGTAGTGATAGAGTTTGAAATGAAACTGCACCCGATCTCATCCACACACAGAATATTTGATTTTCCTCTTATCAATATCCAAGGGACATTTTTTTTTCTTCTGTTGAATTTTTATCAGCCAATACAATCGCTTGGGTCAATGTTGACCAGTAGATTGCAGAATTGAGTCGAATTGTTGAATATTGAATAGAGTAGATGTCTCCTCTCAGGATCACCCAGGACTGCAGTATCGGTATGGGATATTCCATGTATAATAGATTTATCTCATCTTTTATCTGTCGTTCGTTCTCTTGTAGTGAGTCCTCAATTATTCTGCTTATCGCGAAATAAATCTGCTATGAAAATTGGAGGACGCTGAATTTCTCGCCACATTTTTTTCTAGTTTCTCTTACAAATCGATTTCTCGTAATTTCATGCAGATGAATTTCGCAGTCTAGACAAAAAATCTCTATTTATTCTTCTCTGTCCATTATTTGTGATTATTCATCAATTTTATTAATGGGATGGTGATTTAATTCCGAGTGCAATCACAGAAATTATTCATTTCTAATAATAAATCGTTATAATAATTTTAATTGGAAGACAATCAATTGGACAATTGGAAGAGAGATAATATTCATTGATTGAAATAAATAATTTCTGTTAAAAAATAGAGAGACAGAGAGATACTGATAAGAGAGGTAAGACAAACCTACATCTCTTACCCAACTTGGGATTTATGTTTGTTCAGGTCGTGTAACGCTTCTTCATCCAGACGCTTCAAAGTTGCACTGACTCAACTTTAAAATAAACGTTTTATACTTGGCCCTGTTGGTATATAATGCCACCAGTAATAGATGTTTGAGTTGAGGAATGAGTTGAAACTTTCCTTTCCCTAGCTCCAAAATACTGAATTTTAAAATTCGCAATAATCTCCATAAAAATTGTTTTACATTCTCTCATTGAATTCCATTCATTCCAGGGGAGACTACGACTTGATATCCCGGGGTATTGATGAATACACAGTATTAGTTAAATGATTATTGATGAATAATTAATCGTTTTTTGATGATTATCGGTTTTTTTTTTGGTACATCTCAAAAACGATTAGGTGTCGGATAATAGCTCGAATATCTTTGAATCTATAAGAGATACCGAAATTCTTGTAATAACTTTTTTTGTAGAGTGGAATAAGGACTACAAAAAAGATAATAACAGTAATAGCGCTATCTCTCTCAGATTCGGAGATATTCCCCCAGATGTTGGAAACTTTATCCATTGGCTCAATTCACTCCTTAATTTGTATTTTTCCGCTAATTACGGTTCACAAATTAATGATATTTAATGCACAAAGTGGTCTCCCTTACTTTCATGTTTAATTTATAATTTATGAGTTTCATTTGTCTTTCCATCTCACGAAGCTCTTGAGTTAATGAATGTCATTGAATAGTTGGTTAAATCGATTTACTGACGATTTTCTCAATTTTTTTTTTTAGGAAGTGGAAAGGAGGCCAAGGGGTCAGGCAAGGACAATGTATTTCCATCGGGTCCGTACTCCGGTGAGTACTAGTGTCTGAAATTACTCTCGAGTCATGAATATTTCAGTGGTGACGTAGTAAAACGTAACTGAGATGGCCAAGTGGAATAGAATGGATTAATTTTGTATGTTTCGTTGATTGTTGAATAGCTGGGTAATGAAGGCTTCAACCAGAAAATGGCAGAGAACATTTCTGTAGAATATCTCATTCCCTACAAAAATAGACTTTTCACATTTCTCTGTACAACCAGTGATTAACGAGATAATTAACCAATTAACAAAAATCAAATGAGTGATTTCCCCAAGAACTCTTATTGATCACTTGGTAACTTGTCAATTATCTCGACAATGGCTGGAATTACACCAAACTGGCAAAAAACTTTTTTTTAGGTAATTCAATTGTCTACATGTTTGATCTGTCACATTTTTTTATAAAACCAGTCATTATCGAGATAATTAAACAATTAACGAACGTCAAAATGCCGGAACTCCACTAGAGCCCTCTATTATGGTTTGTCAATTTATTGATTACCGCATTAATGAGTAAAGTTACAGAAAAATGGAAGAGAGCTTTTCTGTAGAATATTTTATCCCCTTAAAAAAAGTCTTATAACTCTTTTATGGCAAACTGCTCATTAACGCGATAATTAAACAATTGGCTAGACTTGCGTGAATTTTCAACTAAAAAATGAATAATCCCCGGTTCAATTCACTCTTTCGAGCAATTTTTTTATTGCATCGAACATCACTTACATAAAATACATTAAACCGAGTGCCGGACGCTCAGCGATCCCTCGCCTGCATTCAAAGTAGCCCCAACTTCCGCCCTGACCACCTCGAATCACATTCAAATGTCTTTATTCCAAAGTATCTCTTTTGTTCTCTCCCCTCTCCAAAATCCCAACAATCCCCGTAATTTCTTTCCATTGTCTTATCCAGAGCCCCAACAAAGAGACCAATTAAATTCCTCGACGGAATCCACGTACAAATCAATCACCAGAGTAAAAGTTAATCCTAAAAACCCCAACAAATGTCGTAAAAAAAATTCTACACCAACACAAAGTCGATTATCTCGAATATCGTCGACCGGAAAATCATGTCCCCAATCCCATCAGGAAGCCAGGAAAATTTCCAATCCAAAAAGCTGCTGATAACCCAATTTAGTGCGATATTTCACCCAGAATTAAATAAATTCAAAGTTCACCTTTTAATCTCAAATTTTCGGTGTCACCGTTAAAGAATTGAGATATTTCACGAACCGCTGGAGCGAAATTAGATGAAATGAGTGGATTGGATGGGAAATTTTCCCTTCTTTCTAATGAGACCATCCTCACTCCTCTACCTGTCCTGGTCCTCGAGAAAATCGTGAAAACGTTAACACTGCCGATTTTCGCGACTAGTAAATCGAGCGGCAAGTGACGATTCCTCACTGTTATCACCGGTTCATTAGCATTTTCTTTATTCATTAGCCGATAACGATGTAGTTCATCGAGTCGACGCGTATCGTACGCGTGCTACCACCAGATCAATATCCTCAAGTGTAGCAAATACATATATAGCCAGGTCTAGTTATCCCATACTTCACCGCGAATTCCAGAATTCCTAACTTTCCACCGATGGTAAAATTTCCAAGTTCCTTGGCCTTCCCATTTCCACCCGTTACCCTCTATTCCCCATCTGCATTCGCCACTCCTCGTTTCCTCCATTTCCTGGTCCTTCTCCCAGACTTCCTGTCTGCGTTTCCTCGAGTGCAGACTCGAGAAAATGAATTTTTGGCGATTTTCCGAGATGAAAATCGCGGGATGATCGGGGAGAGGGAGCGATAACGATTGCATTTCGGAGAATCATTTTTTTCTGTGAAAAATACTTGAATTTTTCCATTTTTCCGCGCCATTTACATTTTTCGAGATCGAGTTTTCCTGGAGTACTAAGTACCAAGTACTAAATCCATAAACTACTTAGTACTTGAACAACTTGAATTATTAAATCTTATAACTGCTTTGTACTTGAATAACTTCAAGTAGTAAATCCACAAAGTACTTAGTTCTTCAATAACTTCAAGTAGTAAAGCCATAAACGACTTAGTACTTGAATAACTTGAATTATTAAATCTGATATCTATTTAGTACTTGAAAAATTTCAAGTACGTACATATCATCGGAAGATTAAAATAAGAATTGAATGATAAATATTCCAAGTAATTATTTCGAGTCGGGAATTAGTTTGACGAGTGAAAAAAATGTGGAAGACGTTAAATAAAGTTATGGATCCGTATCTCCTCGACAAAAATAAACGACACCAAAAATTGCCGACAGAATTAACGTGCACCCGGTGGAGATATTCTCGTTCTCAATCTTTTTCACCATCTCATCCTTCCAGTCGAGGGTCTCCGAAACTTTGAGAAGTTAGGGGAAAAAAAAAATTAACCAAGGAAAAGCCCCTCATTTTTCCTATTTTTCTTGAGGATTTTCCAGGCACTGAACACCTGGAATTCAGAGGATCTGATTGCTTTCGGTTCGAGATACTCGATAGAAAGTCGAGTGAAAAAAAATATTAAATTCCCATCGGTTAGACTGTCAAAATGAAACATTTGGCAGTTATTCAATTGCCAACACATTTATCAATGCCACACAATGAAAAATCTAAGAAATCCATTAGTAACTTTTTCATTAGTTTATTCCATTTTTTAAGATTAAAATTAAAAATCGAAGGAAACGTGGGCTGCAGATCTAATTAACGAGTAATAAATAGTAATTAACCGCTGGAAGGATTAATATTTTGTTGTCTTGGGAGGATAGTAATGCTATAATTAATGATTGTTGTTGTTTTTATTTTTTAGGTGGAGAACCCAGTGATGGGCCCAAGAAGAAGGGCTTTTTCAAGAACTTCTGGAAGCGCTCGCGGCATTATTCACTGGAGAATCAATAGCCCCGGTGTTACGTATCGATGGCAGCTCGATCAAATCGAAATGACACGTCAGCATCTCGTCGTCAATCCAACAACACGAAAAACAATCAGCGCAATCACAACAATCAACAGCTGCAAATCACAACTGCCAGTATTATCGAAAATCCTTGCTGCTGCATCGCCCAGTGACTTGTGTTTAATGTGACTTCGTTAATTTGTTTTGAGTCAACGAGAATCGGCTTATCACCTTTTTTTTTTTCCCGCGTCAACAGTCGACGAGGAACTTTAAATTCTCCCAGGTAAATGAATAAATAAAGTACGGGTTAGTTGGTGAGAAGGTAGTGAACTTCTGTCATTTGGGATTGTCTGACGAGATTTTTTGTTTTATCACCAGAAATTCTGGAGATAGAAGGAAAAATGTGAAAAATAGGAAAAATAATTCAGTCTTTTCCTTGGAAATGTCATATTTTTATCAGGAGAGGACTTTATTTTTCTCTTGTTTTCCGATCTGAAAGACGATTCTACATATTTACTTGTAGAATGCCGTGACATGGGCGAATAAAAGAAATGAAATAAAAATGACGATAAATAGTCAAAGGAGCCGAGTGAAAAAAATGTCGAATTGTCTATCAGAGAGGGAGAGAATGGGTTTCACAGACCGGAAAGTGATGTGTGTCGGTTGATAATGAATTATCGAGATATCATTATCCCTCGAGACATTAAAAACAATTTTTTAATGACTAAAGATGAAAAAAAAAAAATCAATGATTTAACGACAACAATCCATTAAATAAACAATGAGTGATTCTAAATAGTGATAATGCTCTTAATTATTAATTAAAAAATGTAATCAACTGATTAACTATTGATAATTAACGAATTCATTAATATATAAAATCATTGAAGAGTAAATCAATACTTAATTTATTCCAGTCTCAGAACCATTAATGAGACGTTAAATAAACAATAAACATAAGAATAAGACGATTGAGGGTGAGTGCGAGAGGTGGAGATATTTTTTCATTAACTACGAGTGTTGAAAAATCGGTGAGAATAACGAGGGGGATACGATGATTAATAAACAATCGTATTATAATGATTGAATTAAAATGTTATCATGCACTAATACTAGTCGAAACAAGATGCAATATATTTATCCGCCTTTGCTGCAGAAGTAATTATTGAAGAATAATAATTATTCATTGATTAATAATTAATGAAAATATTTGATGAATGGGTAATCGTGAGGTGGAGTTTTTCCATTTTTCTTTCGTATCAAATGGCAGAGGTTGTAATGAGTAATTAATTGTAATTATATCGGAGGATTGAGCTGTATACTTTTGTTGTTTTTAAGGGATAACAACGACATTGTTGTTTATCACTGGTCGTTGCTGACGTTACAATCATTGATTCCTGGGGTTGAGAGAAAAATTTATGCAAAATTCTCAATTTTCATCGTTTTTTTACTTTTGTTTTTTGCCGGTACACCGGAAACCACGTGGGATAGAGGAATGAGAATGGTCTCATTCGAAAGATCGGAAAATTTCCTATGGAATTCACTATCCACAAGTCCTTTTCGCTCAATTAGTTCCTTTAATATCGACGAGAAACTATTTGGCAAGCGAATCAAGTGTTTGGGATTTCCCGGATTTTCCGGAAAATTAGAGGGGAGGAAGTTAGTTTGAGGGATGCGGTTTTCATGGTAAATTTTCCGAGCTTTTCAATGAGATCATTTTCAGCGTTCTATCTCTGTTTGTTTTTGGGGTAGTGGGGAAAATTGAGATGTACTTTCTGGGGGGTGATTTTTCAGAGGAAAATTGAAAATTTTCCATTTCTCACTCAACACCGGAATTTTACTGTTGTGGATATGTGTACATGAAGGTAATAGGGATAAGTAATAGCCGGTGATTACACCGCAGCATTGAAACGAAGGCATTCTACTCTCGTTCCCAGTTTTTTTTCGTTGTTGTACGAGTGATAGTTTCTGTGTGGCTGAGAGAATGAGGAAAGTGAGTGATTCAATGGGAGTAATGAGTCGAGGATTTTTCCGGGGTTTTTCCGACTACTGCGGAGAGTGGGAAAACTATTAGGGGCGGTGGAAAATAATGTGGAGAATCAATTTAGACATCTCACGGAATTTTCCTGGATTTTCTGGAATTGAGAAACTGGCGCAAGATTTTCCGACTGGAAAAATCTTTTTTCCAGACAATTATTTAATTTTCCGGAAAACTGCAGTTTTTGATAATTATACGAATTTTCATGAAAAATTCGAATTCCTGATTCAATCGTCTGGAACAATTTGCATTTTCTAGAAATCAGAAAAATACTGAATTTTCCGGATTTTCCGGGAAAATTGTAGTGTCTTGGAAAAATTGAAATCTCTTCTAAAATTGAGAAATGGAATTAAAAATAGTCGAAAAACGGAGTGAAGAAAGTGATTCTGACAGTGAAAATTGGTGGAAAGTATTTTTCCGACCGGAAAAATAATCCAATTTTCCGATTTTTCCGGAAAAAATTGTAGTGTCTTGAGAAAATCGAAATCTCTCCTAAAATTGACAAGTGAAGGTCACCTTATTCTGACAACAGAAAATAATTTTCCAAACCGGAAAAACTCCGGAAAATTGATCGACTCCCACGAGTGTCCACTAAATCATTCCATGCCCATTGAAACACTCAACACTATTTTAAACGCTCCGAGGTATTTACCAATAAGACTAATCGAATATCTGAAGAAGCAATAAGAAAAATCACATATTCTAAGAACAACCTAAATAATGAAGAGAAGTAATTAATAATATTGCTAGTATAAAAAAATGTGGATACCCAACCCAAGTACCGAACTACATGCCTTAACTGTAGACAATTAAACAAAAAAAAAAAAAAAGAAAAAGAAAAAGAAAAAAAACTGGAGGTTCGAGAGTCTACACTTATTTATGTAACAATTGAAATTAACAATTCGCACATTTCCTCGTCTTCGATTCCCACCAATGAAAAAAAAAATTTAACAGATAAAATGATTGCAGTAGTCTCGTTGTAGTCCCGTAAATTTTTTCATTGAAATTGCCAATACGAGATAAATTTACTCATCGAATTTATTCTCCCCGAATTGGATTACTCATCGAATTACAATGGATTGTTTACATCTTCTAGCCCAGAGGTAGTGAGTGGGGAAAACCGAAAGACACGCGAAAACCAGAAAAATAGAAAACAAACAGAAATTCAGTACTAGTGAGACGACGAGACCGACTACAACGGGATTTTACTGTGAATGGAAAATGTGTACCAGTGAAAATAGAATGAACATAAAATCGATAACGTGAAGAGATAATTTTTCATCTTCTGTGGGACGCGTTAATTAGTGAGTAGAATCATGTTTTTTATCTCCGATAAGAAGTGTTGATTGATTAATTGATTGATGGATTATAGTGGAATAATTAATTCATCGGGGAGTGGGAAAACGTGACAGTTTTACCAATTTCGATAATATCTCGAGGTTTACTCATTAGCTAAAACGTTTTTATCTGCGAAACTGTCAAATTAAATATCTTATTAATGATTTTAATTGATAATTGATCACATGTTTATTTTCCAGTGGTCGAATTAAAATGAAGAAATTGCAATAATTTATTAATGCTATAAAATTAAAATGGGATTGGGTGTTAATTAATTGGATGTGCAATTATCAATTCTAATCATAATCCATCAACAATTATCGAACGACTAATGAATAATAATAGAAATGATTCTTGAAGTATTTTGTGTATAAACAATAACTAATTAACGAATTGACTAAAGAAGTTATCATCTACTATAAATTTTCATGGATCAATTCGATAAATTCGTACTTAAGACGAAACCATTGTACATAAACCAAATCACCTAATTTAGTAATTTTTTATGTTAATTGTAATCAGTGAGTTCATTCCCTCCATCACGAATTTCGAAATCATCAAATCAGGATAATTCATTGCATCGAGAGCCAATGATTAAGTACAAAATCGAATGAATAATTGAATTTATTTATCCACGAGTCAATAGATTCGCCGATAACATCAACAATATCCATGATTGACCATTAAAATTATAATCAATCAATGATTAACAACAAATTAATGAAAAAAAGCAAATGAGTTACACTACAAATCCATTTATTTGGAAAACTATTGATTGTACAGAAAAATGTCAAAAGGCATTTTCCGTCGGAAATTTGATGAGCCACAAAAAAGTCTCATACCACTTCCTCCGAAAATCAATAGTTCTCGAGATATTCGAGATTTTCCACTGACAGAATCAACTCGACACTCGCTGCTTAATTGTTCAATCGATTGATCTATTTGTTTAATCATGGATAAATAAATTCAATGATCGAATGATGATGATGGACAGGATGAAAAGTGGTGGTGGGTGTGGTAATTGTTTGTTTGTTTTTTAAATTAAGGGAGATAAATGAATTGGTGAAGGATGAAAACTGTAAAGATGATTTGAAAATCATTCAATGAGTCATTAAGAGGATGAATTAAATGAGATTAACGCATTGTATTGCCCCCTCACGCGATGGATTTGTAAGCCAAAGTAATGTTTTAAGAGGAAGATACTTGTAGCGTTTAACAAAATGCGAAATATACATATATAGTATTCAGATTGAGTCAATGATGATTTGATTTGATTTCTTTCTTTCTCAATTTTCTCACAATTATTTTCATTTTGCATCTCTACCCTTTAACCATTACAAATTCATCGAAACCCTTCCAATTCAATTATTAATCAATTAATTTGAGCATCCAATCATTTCATTAATAATTCTATTAATTTCTCAGACTTTACAACAATTGAATGACTTTACAATACTCACACTACTCACCTTTCAAAAAATTGAGAAGAACAATATTTACATTAGAAAATTACTTTTGCGGAATTTTTCTAGAAAAAAATTGTTCTCTCAATTTTTTTTTCTCTGTCACTCTTGGGAGTCATGGGAAAGGGCGGAAAATAACGTAAAATCAATTTACACCACTTTATACAAATTTATTACTCGCTTAAAGACAATCTTACGTTGATGTATGCAAAAAAAAGGAAATTCTTACGAAGAAAAATATCGTTTCACAGAATTACATCTAATATCGGTCAAAATTTCGATTCACCTTTCAAATTCACGTTAAAAAAAATCTGATTATGATATTTCAATGAACTTTCTCCGTCTTTTCCTCGCTCAACAGTCCACTCGATCCCAATATCACTGTATTCATTATTTTCATTTAATTACTTCAATCATTTCCTTCAATTAATTAATTAAAAAAAACAAAATTACAGGTAAAGTGAATTTTCATAGTCGCAGTTCCAAGTGGAGGTGGAGGTAAGTCGAAAGTTGATTCTGGGGTCTTGTTGAGGGATCCGCGACACTCGGGGACTAGAAATAAACAATTAACAAATAATTAATCATCAAACAGAACAAACGAACCAAATGCTCCTCCCACTTTTTTCACAAAAACGTGATTATCTCCGGAACTAGGAGATGTAGGACATTGAAACCGGGCTCATTGGAAAGCTGAGAAAATTTCCGATAAAATTCACTATCAACAAGCCCATTTTGCCCCACATCTCTGGGTGATACACACTGAAAACCCAGAAAACAAGTTTTGCCTCTGCAAAAAGTTTTTCCCCGATTACTCAGAAAGTTCTGGATCAAAATGGACTGAAAACCAGTGGACGAAACCGGAAATTTTCTCAGCTTTCCAACGATTCTATTTTCATCCCAGAATCTCCTAAAGTTCCCAAGATAATGGAAAATAACTGATGAGTCAATTCTCACGTCAACTCCATAATTTGCAAAATCAACAAAAATCGCAAAAAAAAAAATAATTCAGAGGGCAGTATGAATAGATTATTTACAATTATTATTTCAATTTTATTTCCTTCCTTTTATCAATAAAAATTGTTACATAGTTTAGGTAGTTTGTTCTGTATCCCTCATTAAATTTAATCAAAAACATATCGATCAGATCCATTCGTCATGGGCGCTTGGCACATTGAAAAATATTCCATTGACAAGCAGCCACCGAAAAACATTTTGCATTCATTAGTGGTTTTAATTATTTAAGTTATAAATAGTTACTAGCGAGGATTAGCAGTTTTTAGCGAAGAGGGGGTAAGTAGTAAGTAGCAATTAGCAGTACAGAAATACAATAATCATTACTCTTCATTCATCATTCTTTTCACTTTTCTCTTGTAGCTGTGGGTTAGTTATATGCATTGGTGTATTTATAAGTTCATTAGTGATATCGATGAGTCCCTGACGTACACAGATACGCAATTAGTGATTAATTAAATATTATGAAGCTGCAAATAAAACGGGAGAACGAAATTCACTCGGATAAAAAAACAGTGAAAAATCTCGGTCCACAAAAACGCGAATATCTCGACGAGAAATTGTCGTAGAGTAATGAATTTTCGTTCATTGAATTCCTGGGAAAATTTGCAATTCAATTCACTACTCACAGTTCCATTTTGCTCCGTAAGTTTTTGAGATATCGAGACTTTATTGAGAGACTTCTGAGATACTCGAAAATCGAACGTTCAATCGATTTTTTCTCATATCTCCATCAATATCGGGGCAAAATGGATTGATAATGAGTGTTTTGGATGGGAAATTTTCCCGTCTATTCGATGAGCTGGAAATCGCCCGCCCGTTTTGCCCCGTTTATATGAAAAAACCTAGGAGAATAACTCGATCGTAGAAATGAGGTGCAACTAGTGGTCTTACCGATTAAATCCAAATGGAGAGTTTAAAAAAAATTATCGCGACTAGGCATTGCGGTTTTATTTATCACGTCAAAAGCGGAGTGAACGGGTCTCTGGAGGTGTTTTTTTGCACTCTGCCATTTCAAGGCAACGGGAAAAATCCCTAAAAGGCAAACAAGTCGATTCGAAATAAAATGAAGAGAAAAAAGAAAATTGTGTCGATTTGACACACTTTGCCATCAGTCTGTGTCCTGGACTCATTCAACTCCACTAATGACGATTTGACGAGAAAAAAATTATTGTTGAAGCTATTTATTTCAAAACCAATTTTTCAATTTTCAAGAAAAAAATTAAATGAATTAATTACTCCAAAGAAAAAATCGGTAATTAATACGATCTAGTCTCCAGGGCTTAAACACAAGTAAAACAATTCATTTCCATATTTTAAACGATTTTTGATCAATTATTCGAGAGGAGAAATGAATTTTTCCCTCAATTTCCCTTTTCCATTAGTTTTGCATCAAAAAAAGGGATTTCCCTAAAAAAAAAATTGTTTATACCCCGAGATATAATTATTCCGTCACCCTTCCACCCGAAAGGAATATCCAAACATTCAGTAATTGTTTAAACAATTATCCACCGAATATTTCCCAGAAATTCAAATAACTTTTCACTATTCCTCAAAAAAAAATTACAACGCAAATGAATACAAACGCTTCCACTCCTTATGATACACTTTCCCCTCAGTAAAAAAAGACGTCAATTATCAATAATCGGAAATATTAATTAGTTTATTTCGTTACCTCAACACCTCAAATGCATCACCTCAATATTAAAAAGATAAACGAATAAATCGCGCCCAAAACTATAACTCCATTCCACTAATCTCTTATCAATTAGTTTATTTCCAATAAAAATCTCAGCAGTTATGACAGATCGCTCCTTTTTTTTTTTCAAATCTCATTACAATTAGCAAATATTGGAGACAGTAAATAGCTAGAAAAAGGGACAACGCATTTTCTCAATTCCTCCCATTCAATAACTCCTCGATTTTATTTCAATTATGAAGAACGAGAGGTACAGCCAATCGGTCATGGGACGTCAATTAATTTGTTCCATATTTTCATTTTAAAAATCGATAACTCTATCACACCGTGAATGCCAAAATGATAACGAAATTCTCTGAAATGCCCTCGACTCAGATCTTCAATATCTCGAGAGTCGCAACACCGAAACTAATTATCCGACTCTCATTAAATTCCCTGGAAAATTCTCCATAAAAAAACACTTGCTGTCAACCGATTTTGCCCCGCAAATAATTAAAAAACCGATGGCAAAGGCTTGAAAACCTTTTCCCTCTGTTTTTTCGCATTTCACTAAAAACCAGCGGGGCAAAATGGGCTGAAAAATAGGTCTTTGGATGGGGAATTTTTCCGCGGATCCGATGGAGTTTGAATCATCGATCTCCGATCGGTAGAACTCGAGATATATCGAATTTTGGAAACCGATTTTTTCTTTTGAGGGATTTTTTGATTTCGCTTGTCGTTCTGTCATTTCGATAAATGAGAATTATCGAATTTTATGGTGAACTGTCATGCCTTTACCTACCGTCGCCCTTATCAATTCGTCAGTTTCCTCCCCTGCCCTCTCTTTATCGTTATCAATGTAGAAAACCCACATCCTCGTCTCAGAATTCGTATCTCACTCTCGCACAACGGAAATATTAACTGAGGACGAGAGAAAAAAAAAATGTTCTCTATTCGATGAGACTCTTCACTCGTTCTCACATGTATTTATTTATTTATTTAATCATTTTTTAATCGGTTTATTAAAAAGACAAATGAAAGGCCGTTACAATGATTTTTTATGAAATAGTTATTAAACTATGTGACTTACGTCATTTGAATATGGATAATGAGTTGATTTTACTGAGATTTCTGTCCCTCGGGTCTAGGGAGAACTTTTAAATAAACATTAGCTCATTTTCTTTCCTCTTTTCATTTTGTTCGAGAAATATTCAGTCATCCAGTGATTTTTTTTCGAGATTTTCAAATTGTTGTTCTGAGTTGAGCGTTATCTCGGTAATGAGTGGAGTTTGGAAAAAAAATCGTTGAAAACTTTTCCTGGGAAATGTCATTCACCAGTTATGAGTTCTTATGATTTTTTTCTCTGAGTCCACTAGGTCGTGAGATAATGAAGAAATAGAGAGATTTATCTGAATTTCTCGATTTTGTGATTCTGATTTGAGTTGAAAAAGTCTTTAGCAATTTTAATTATCTCAAAAATACGTTCTGGCCTCTTTCAGTCGATTCTCGAATTCCTCCAGCTGCCAAATGGCTGTGGGGATTCGAGATGTTGATGCCAAAAAAACATTTTTAGGAATAGAAAGGGGAAAAAAAAAAGGGGGACAGAAGTGACTAATTCTGATGGTGTGACGTAGAAATACAGATGACGATGATTCTCTCAATATTCTATCTCACACATGCACTCTCTTTGAATGTGAAAAAATTCACTCTCACGATTATCGTCGAGTCTAACGGCGACGGAGTTGCGGCATTTCCGCTTATTGTTTATGATTATTTATGATTTTTTTGAGATGACGAATGCAAGATTAAATTCCAGTTTTCACCATTCATTTTGTTTTCGGATTTCTTATGGTTTGTTGCTTTGTTGATTCGCTGTGTTTTTTTTTAGTATTTTGTTTAAAATAATCGACTGTATTATTAATTATTATTAGGTATTTGTAAATTGGGTCCCAGAGGTTACTGCAACAGAAAATCAGAGGGGAAAATCAGATTTTAGTTTTCACCAGGAATTCTTTGTTAAATCGGCGATTATCTCGGTAGCGAGTGGATTTACAGAAAAAAATCTTATAATGTTTTTTACAGAGGTTTTAATCCTCTACAAAAAAGGATTAATAGATTTTTCTGTAGAACCTCCCGTAGGGAAGATACATGCACGGGAACATCAGCTCGATTTGTCGCGTTTCACCACTTCACTCGAATCCTCCATCAATAACAATTATTCGATTATCTCGATGACCAGTGGGTTTATCACAAAAAGAGTTATAAGCTCTTCTCAAGAGAATTAGACTCTCCATATATAATATCTTATGAGTTTTTTTATTGAATCCAATAATTACCGAGATAATCAGTGTTTTAGTTGTGATGGAAAATGGAGTTTAGTGGAAATTGAGTTTTTTGGAAACTGAGATATTAATTAGTGGAAATTTATAGGAAAATTGGGGGGGAAAAATGTATTTTTAGTAATTAGTTTTATTTTTGGGGTGCAATAGTGGGTGGTGTACGAGACATCCAAATTTAAATGGAGATACTAGGGAAAGGCATGCGGGTATTTCTTTTTTAACGAGGCGTCACCGAAGGAGGCAGTGCCAGTGGATTAAAATAGAATATTCGGTGGCGAGGGCCAAGTGAATTCAAAGTTGGAGACCAAGGGGAGATCTCGGATTTCCGTTGGCCTCCAGCGAAACAAATAAATATATTAAACAAGTGGAAAATTAAATTCCCGATGAATAACGTCAACTGAATTTCAAATTCAATTACTCCATTTTCAAATCAATTAAACTCCCGAAAATTCAATAATAATTCCTTCCCTTGAATTCACTAATCAAAAGATTTGAAATTCAAGACTAGAAATTCTCTCGAAATAAATTATTCTCGCTTTCTCATAATTCCATCTTAAAATCTAAAAATCATTAAAAGCAACAAAATGATGAATGAATATTAATTGCAATAAAAAAATCCTTGGAGATCGTCAAGCCCCAGAAATAAAAAATCCAAAATCAGAATTACAATGACTAAATGAATCTTGAAGTTTGATTTTATTTTTTGGTGAGTCGTGGGATGATTTTTAATATTTCTGGGATTGTTGATGGTTCTTTTATAATTGAGGCATTAACTAATAATAATAATTGCATACCTAATAGCCGCAGGTGAGGAGGTAATCACCCAACTTCTCGACGACCGATGCGGCTTGCTGTGGTTGAATTGGATCCTCGTATAGTGATACTACAATAGTCTGCGTCGTCTTCATGCAGTGTACCCCGACTTTTGCCGATTTGGCTCTTATCACACGGTCTGTACCCGACAGGTAGATATACTTGATGCCAGCTAATGTCACACCTGACGACGTCAGGAGCTCCTGGGAGTCGAATCCCTGAAGTAGCTTAGCTAATTCATCTTTGCTCACCTAAAATTCATTAAAAAAATCAATTCATCATTCAATTATTAAATTTCTCCATTACTCCATCAATTATTCAATGAAATCACAATGATAAATCCAATTCTAATTAATTAATTGATGGAGGGGTGGACAGATGAATGAAAATCCATCGATTAATGAATTAATTCACAAGATATTAAATAAATAAATGATACTGGAAATATTTAAATTGAAAAATCAAAGGATTAATGACAGGAGAAATTGTTTTTAGTCATTACTGAATTGAGGAATATTTAATCAGCATCAATTATTATATCAGCCTTGGAAAATTAATCAACAGTGATTTTTTTTTATTTTTGCAGGAGAGTATTTGCGGGACTTTTCCAGCAGAAAAATAATTGCTGTCTGCATTCCATTGGGAAAGACTGTGGGAAGCAGATGGTAAATTGAGTGGTATTGTCTTCAGAATTATGGGAATTATAATATCGTGGACTGGAGTCTGGAGATGGGCCCCGAGGTGATGCCGACACTCGTCTGTTGGCGATCGATCGCCACCCCCCGGACGTCCCCCCAGTGGTCCAGGATCCAGAAAAAAAGGTAGGAGCCCCTGGGGCAACATTCATTTCATCCCTTCATTTTATTTTTCTTTTTTAATTATGGATTTATTTGATGGATTTTTTAATTATTTCTACCCCCCCAAAATAATTCGAGTGTTTTAATGTTCAAAATTTTTCTAAATGTGTCTCCCGTCTTAATGGAATAATATTAGAGCATTGATATTCGATTTTTGGGAATAATTATGCAATTAATTAATGATATTTCCCCTTTTTTCATTGAAATATTTGAATTTTGAGGAATTTGTTCGTTAAAACTTCAACATTTTATTGAATATCTCGACAAATATCGGTTCTAGAAAAAAATATCAAAAGACCTTTTTTGTCGGAAATTCAATTGACCACGAAAAAGTCCTCTACTGTTTTCACCTCAAATCAATAATATCCCCGATAAACCGGTAATTAACGAACATTAAAGTCGAGTCATTCAAAATTGTCGATTTTGAATTTTCCCTCATAAAAATATTAAGAAATAATTAAAAAAATTGTCAACCATAGTTAAAATGAGTAGAATAGGTTGACTAAATCACTAATTAGGTAGGATTAATTAATGAGGCAATTGGGGATGAAGAATGGCAAAGTTTTTCAAATTTCAAATGGAATTAAAAAAAAAATTTCTTAAGTAATGTTACCCCTAAATCATTTCTCATGGTCAAGGAAAGTGAAACATGAGGTCGATCGATGGTGGTAACCGTTCCAACCGTTTTACCACCATCACGCTCTACTTGATATTCAATTTACCTCCCCAATGAAAAATACTTTCCATTTCTCATCACCAACGACTCGTTTAATTCCAAACAAATTCCATTAATTCCACGCACCGAGTGCATTCAAAAAATCGAGTGCCTCTCTAATTGCCTCGGAGAAAATCGCTGCATCCCAATAAAATCCAATTAACACCACCAGAAATCCATCCACAAATTCCATTGAAATATCAATTTTCCCATTGTAATCTTCCGAATTTTCAAGAAATTTTAATCATTAAATATTTATTCCATTGATTATTAATTGATTTCATAAATAAACTCTGCACCTCAAGAAATTATTTATAATAATATAATTCACCGTGACTTTCTCTCATCAGTTTTTTAATTATTACTGATAATTAATTTCGAGTAATCAATCGATAATTAACAATAATCCTGTAAAATCGTGGAAAATGGGATAATTTCATAGTTGTCGATGCATTTATGGTATTTCCAGTGGATTCAATTTACCAGATATTATTTTTCTCTCCCTGTCGTTCAAATAAATGACACAAATACAACATTTGTGTTATGAATTGAAAAGCGGGGGAATAATCGTGAAAGCATAATGTGAAAATATATATATTCTCTCACGGAAATCGGCCAGTATATAATGCAGAGGGAGATATACTCATTGTATGAGTCACTGGGTACTTTTTACTCGTCATACGTCACTGCCAACTCACGATGAATCATTCAGGGTATATTACGAGTCTTTACTACATTTATCCCTAGATTCAGGTAGAGTTTTACCGATTTTTCACGATTTTTCCGAATTTTTGTGCACTAGTTCAAACATTTTTTATTGCATTTATCAAATTAAATTCAATTAAAATTAATATAATTGCTTAACATTAACTCCATTAATTAATTAATTAAACTCGGTTCAAGGTAGTTACTTATTATTTTTGTTGTTTGTTTATTTTTTTATGGAGAGGAATTGTTATAAATAAATGATTTCAACAACGAGGTGCAGAGTAACAAGTGGATTTAGGTGGTTCACGAGTTTTCGGGGGATATCTCGGGATCTAGAAGAGATACAGAAATTTTTGCAGAGAGCTTTTTTGTAGGTGGTAGCTTTTTCTGCAAATGAAGTTCTACAAAAAATTTTGGTATCTCGGTTAGATCCCGAGATATTCCCCGGAGACGCGAGTAGCGATCGAATCGATTTGAGAATATTGCGTTTGCTTTCAATTGTTTTTTTATTTCCTTTGGTAAATAAATAAAGAAGTAGAGATAATAAATGAAAAACATTCCATGTTCATGGAAAAATGGAAAAACTACGTGACTAATGGTGCAGTGGAGTGATGAATATTTTTACATTCGACAAAATAATCTGCATAAATATCAGAAAACTTTTCCCTTGGAATTTCTTCCTCTAGTATTTTCCACTTAAAACCCCAAAAATCCCACCCCAAAATCCCCACCATCCCTACACCCCCCAACCATATCCCTCCACCCCTAAAAAAAAATCCTCTCCCCCCCAAAAAATCCGGGGAAACCCAAAAATGCAAGCCCCACCCTGACCCCTCCAAAAAATCCCTATAAAATCTGTACAACACCAAAAAAAATCCCTAAACAAAGAAAAATTCCCCTTTTCCATTGGTCCATTGACATCTCCCCATTGTCGCCAACCACAATGACACCCAGACACAAAATCAATAGCCAATCCCATCCCCTCAAAACAGCTCTCAATAAAAAAAAATTAAAAAGAAGCGAAAAAAGAGGAAAAATAAAAAAAAAATGAAAAATCGAAAAAAGGGGGAGTCCCAGGAATCGCTGTTGTAGGTACATCCCTGGAGGATTCCGTTCGTAGAGGCCGGTCTTGTCGCCATTTTGGCGTTCTGGCAACCGGAAAGTGAACACGCAAACTCTCCACCGCGCGTGGCAGCTGCCCCTTATCTTTTCTCTTTTTTTTTTTCCTCTCTTTTCTCTCTTTTTCCCCTCCCTATTTCCCCAGAGAAAATGCAATAAACAGAACAGAAACAAATTCGAGCTAGATAATAAATAAATCATCACTCCACTGGGTAGAAATCCCTGGCATTCAGACCTGAAAGATTATCTCCAAACCGATTATCATTTTAAATCGTTGATTAATAATTCCTGAGAAATGACGACTGGTAAAAAATAAAGATTCAACAGTTTTTAAATAATAAAACAATCGCATACTTGAGGTATCGGTTTCAGAGAATTCAGATTAGAATTATTCATTGGCACGTATTCTCAAGGTCGACGATCGTTCGTGAATTAATTTAGTAATTAAATCGTTTAACTGGGTGATCACGGGATACTGGTGAGGAAAAATTCCCAGGGGATGGATATTATGGGAAATTTGTTTTTTCAATTGGAAAAATTGGGGAGTGATGTTTGGATGATAATTCTAGTGTTAGAAATGAAAACCGTTGGGATCGATTGAACGCAGACGTGGGTTTTGTCGAAAATATTCGGTTGTTGCCACACCCTCTTTATCGATCCTCAATCCCATCCCCAAAATCCCCGGATAAATCCCCAAAAATTGCCCCAATAGGACACCCCCAAGAAATCGTAACAAAAATCGGCAAAAAAATCACGAAAAAAAGGGGGAAAAAAATTTGTAAAATCGCCCCTTTAGTTCTAGGACTCGTGGTTGTCCTCTAGAGCCGGTTAAAAAGAGATGAGAGAGAGAGAGAAAATCCGATCGATGCGCGCACGCCCTCGTGGAGGTGCTAAAGTAGAAAATCGCGATAAAAGCCCCAAAACCTCAATTTTACAACTAAAAAATCGGTATTACCCCTCCACGACTCCCCAAAATTATTCTCATACATCGCATTATTTTTTTTTTCAACTCCAAAATCATCTCTGGGGTCCCACAGGACCTGGGGGCCTCCGAGAAGAGAAGAGAGACTTGGGGGCACGTGGCAACTGCAAAAATTCGCCGATTTTCACGATAAAATTGTTCAAAAAACGGGAAAAACCACCGATTTTCCCGCAATTATCGCTCCAAATTTGTATTTCGGGGTTAGAATATCACGAATTACCGGCACCGAGACCTTGACGAATCCATAGAGAGTCAAAGTGAGATGGAGAAATAGCGATGGCGTGCGCAGCTGTGACTCGAGTCTCAATCCCAAAGCGTTCCCTCGAAAATCCGGGCCCAACTCCCACAATTCACCCCCAAAAACCCCCAAAAATTATCAAAATTAATCCCCTCCCCACCCCCCACCGCAGCCAATTTTTTCCCAATTTTTGGGGGCCTCGAAGCCCCCAAAAAGCCCGAGACAATTAGAGGAACTCAAAAAATCCCACAATCTGTCGCACCTTCATTATCTGAGAAATTAACAACAACGACGATTACAATAAAATAAAATTAATTGCTGTTAGATAATTGTTAATAATTATTGGGGGATGAGTGAAAATAGTTGGAGGGGGAGTTTTTGGGGGGTGGGAATTGTATTTCTGGGGCTGGGTCGGTGTCTTCGGGTGATTTATGAAATATTTCGTGAATTGTCGTCTCAAAATGGTGAATATTATTTCAAGTACTCACTTCAAAGCCATCGGATTTAGCCCAGAGATTGCCGTCGTGGCCGGCAATCGCCGCCTTTGTAACGCATTTCGATGCGAGCAGCTGCTTGTCAACGTAATCCTGCCAGCTCATTGTTGAGATATTTTTTTATTAAAAACAAATGGGGGGTGTGTCAAAAAAAAAAAAAAAATAAATCACCACAAAATATGAATAACACCCAGAGACCGATCTAAATCCTCCACGAGCGACTCTAGCCCCTCGTGTAAACAAGATTCTACTGCCAATCCAATTTACTCGTCTCTTAGAATTTTTAATTCGTCGATTTTTGACTGTTTTTCTTATCTTTTTTTATTTTTTTTTTTAGACTTCTTTTTTTTTTTCACTGGAGACACTTGGGACTCGTCGTGGAGCCGTCGACTGACTCGACTCACGTCTCGAGAGACAACTGGAGGCGATGGAGAGACGAACAAACTGTCTCGCCCCACCGACGGATTCTCCCACCAGGGGTCAGGGGGTTTTTTCGTCTCTTGGTGGGGTACAGGGGGTGGACAGGGGATGACGCCATGTTTGGCGGTTCTGTCTTTCTCCTCTTTCAAATGGCGCGGGGAGTGGAGTGCGGGGGAAAGCACCAGTGGGAGGGACGCCGGGACCCTAGACAACAAGGCGCGTTTTCATTGGCACGCCATTTTTTCCGGTGAGTTTTTGAATTTCATTTGACATTTTTATCTCAGTTTTTGGTTGAAAATCCTCTTTTTAAGTTAATAACAATTTGAAATCTCATCATTAATTAGAGACTTTTATCGATTATTAATGTAATAACATCAATAACAATATTAATAATAATATTTGTAATTATTAATGATATTGTTATCGTTGTTGTTCCGTTTGTAATGAATTCAATTGGAAGATTAATTTTTTATTCGTTGTAAATGACAAAGAGAAAATTTTGCTATCGGTTTGTTAATTAATTAATAGTTAATCTGAGGTTAATCGATAATTAATTGGAGTTGATTCAACTTTACAATTAACTCGAACTCCATTAAAAAATATTGCAAAAACGTGAACAAATGAGGGAAAATAAAAATGAAGGGTATCTCCCAATTATTAATTCAATGAGTAATTAGAAAAACAACGACGACTAAAAAATTAATAATGACAAGATAAAAGTGATGATTTGTGGAGATAGGTCGTCAAAAAATAGAACAATAATGGAAGTTTGAACGTAAATTTAACGCTAATGGAGGCTAATGAAGTAGCAACAGTTTTAAATGACTTTATTACTAGTAATATTTAATGAGGCCCATTCTTGGTAATGATATTATGACTCATGGAATCCAATGATGGCCGTGAGGTGTACAATGACGAGGGATAACCGGTGATGTTGAGGATGAATTTTGTGTCTCGCATTTTTCATCCGATATCTCACTCGCACGTACTTTGTCGGGCTACTTGTACATCCAGGCCAAGTTGGCACTTTTGCAGGCCACATGGGCTGACTCATCACCCCCTTCTACGAATATTTAACGCCTCCCCAGTTGATTTGTCCACATGAACATTTTAAATTTCGCGAGAAGAATAAATAACCACCCAAACTAAATTCCATTAGGAAAAATTTTCAATCGATTCCACTCATTCTCCATACGAAAATAAATGCCATCTAATTAATAATAATGATGAGTAATATAATTGGGGAGGGGGCGGTAAAATGGATATCTCTCTCCCACGATTTTTTTCCAATCAAAAAATTTGATATAAAAAAAATATGTATGAGAATGTAACAATAAAGGGTTGTTAACAATGAGAAAAAAAGAAAAAAATGTGAAAAATGAGGGGTCAATAATACCTAGATGGTCCATTTTACCCCACCTCACCCTAAAGTGTGTATTTACCACGAATGATTAATAGATAATTTAAAATTCCTGAAAAAAGACTTCAGAATCGATTTTATAATTGAAAAATGGGGGAATTGAATTTTTTTTTTTGAAAAGCCCGCGGCGCCTGCGCTCTCGAGTGTTTTCCGACCCCGAAGTGGGGAAAATCCCTCGAACCACGTGTTCTCGTGTTTAAAAAACCAACAAATCGTGTTGGTTATGTTCCCGAGTGTTTAATAATGTTGTTAAAACATAAATAGAGGATATTCTTTAATAATAACAATTGAAAAGTCCGAAAATGCAGATCTCCAGCCCTAATAACATAAAAATCTATAATCTCAGTGCTGGGAAAACTCTTCCAGAGGTGAGATCCATCGAATTCTTCCCAATTTAGGTTATAAACTAATTAAATAGAATGATTGTTTAAAGCCAGGGGACTTTCCAATCATGATTCTATTTTTTTTTAATTATTTATCTCTGATTTATTGTTACAGTGGCTTTCAGAGAGGAAAAGGAGGGCATTGTTGAAGAAAAATGTTGGTGAGTGTTTCCAATAAATAATCCATGATTATTTATTTCGTATTCCCTTATTCTACAATTATTTCGAATAATACACGCCACGTTCTTGTCCCATATTATCAGAATACCCCGAGGATTTTCTCAATAAAATTTCTGAGTCATAACAGAAAGAATAGTCAACACAAATCGATCAAAACAAAACAATCCCTCGGGATATATCCCCTGTGAATAAAATAATACGTCTAATCGTCGAACGAATGATTTAATTCTCTCCAGAAATCAGAAGGAGTATCGAGCTCATCCAGGACTTCGAAATGCCTGGAGTCAGTACATCGATAAAAGTCTCCAGAGATCTGCAGTACGTTCTGGCAACGGGCATCTACAAACCCCGAGTCAAGTGTTTCGACGTGAATAATCTCTCCCTGAAATTCGAGAGGTGTTTCGACTCCGAGGTTGTGACATTCCAGATATTATCCGAGGATTACAGTAAAGTGCGTAAATCTCAAATTTTCCTAAAGAAAATTCCAAAACAACAATTTCATCATTTAATGATTTAATTATTTCTCCAGCTAGTGTTCCTCCACTGCGATCGACACATAGAGATCCACGCAGCCCACGGTAAATACCACCGGCTGAGAATTCCGCGATTCGGTCGTGACCTGGAGTACCACAACCCCTCGTGCGATCTCTTCGTCGTGGGTGTGAGCAACGAGATCTACAGATTGAATCTGGAGAGAGGGCAGTTTCTCAAGCCTTTCCTGTCGGATTCATCAGCGATAAACAAGTGCAGCATCAATCCAGTGCACCACCTCCTGGGGGTGGGCACGCAGGAGGGGAAGGTCGAGGCCTGGGATCCCAGGACCAAAGACAGAGTAGGAGTCCTCGATTGTGGATTCCACTGTATCACCCAGGACACGAAACTAAAGGGTGTGCCATCAGTTACTGCTCTGAAATTCCAGGGTGGACTTACGATGGCTGTGGGAACTGCCACTGGACAAATTCTATTGTACGATATCAGAAGCAATCGACCTTTTCTCGTTAAAGATCACATGTATGGACTGCCCATCAGGAACATCGAGTTTCATGAGAAAATGGATCTCGTGTACTCCATGGACAGCTCCATCGTCAAGATCTGGGAGAAACAGACTGTGAGTCTTTATTTATTGATTTTATTTGATAAACTGAAGAGTAACTCAATTGATTTTCATGGATGGAATTAATCTGGACCTTGACATTTTCCTCCAGGGGAAGATCTACACGTCGATAGAAGCCCAGAATGATCTCAACGATCTCACAACGGTTCCTGGAACTGGAATGCTCTTCCTGGCCAATGAGTCCCCAAAAATGCAGACGTATTACATCCCCAGTCTGGGTCCAGCCCCCAGGTGGAGTGGATTCCTGGACACGATAATCGAGGAGCTGGAGGAGTCTAGCTTCGACACGATCTACGATAACTACAAATTCGTGACGGAGAAGGAGCTCGAGGAGTTGGGACTCAATCACTTGATTGGGACTAATTTATTGAGAGCCTACATGCACGGGTACTTCATGGACGTGAGGCTCTTCAGGAAGGCCAGGGATGTCATAAAACCGTTCGCCTTTGACGACTACAAGAAGAAGAAAATTCGTGAGAAATTGAATGAAGATGCGAAGAGTAGAGTTCAAGTGCAGAAACTTCCTGAAGTGAATAAAGAGCTCGCATTCAAGCTGATGGAGAGTCAGGAAGATGGCAAGAAGAAGAGAAAAGCCCCGACAATTCTCAAGGACGACAGGTTCAAGGCTCTCTTCACTAATCCTGACTTCCAGGTTGACAAGAATTCGGTGGAGTTCAATCTTCTGAATCCTGTGATCTCTCAAATGGATAAAGGAAAGGCGAAGAGACTCAGAGAGATGGAGAGGAAAGAGGAGGAGGAGAAGAGAATACTTGGTGCCTTCGATGAGGATCCAGAGCGTATGTATTATTTATTCAACAGATTCTAAAGAAATCGATGCATTAATTAATTATTTGATGATTTTATTCGGTAGATAATGGAAGCTCAGACGAGGAATTGCTGCACGACGAATCATCGGACGACGAGAAATCCTGGTCGAAGGAAGTGAAGAGGAAATATCGAGAGGTCAAGAGGAAACAGCGAGAGGAGGAAATCGAGGATGAGAAAAATGAGAGAGACGACTCGAAGCAGATGAAGCAGCCAAAGTTCTACGAGATAAAAGAAGGGGCCGAGTTCAAGGGTGGAAAAACATACATGAAGAAGCGAATCAAGTGAGTTTATAAATTTTTTTTTTATCTAGAGAAATTTCATTGGATTTATTATGAATTATTTTTCGTTTAGGGCGAGTCTGGGGGATAGGTTGAATAGTGATGAGGCAAATGGTGTGAGGGTCACTGGCTCGAGGGGAAATAGGGAGATGACATTTTCCATTGGAAAAAAGAAATTTGGAAAGTCTAGGGATTCATTCAAACACAGGAGGGCTGACCAGAAAGGTCTGTTGAGGCCAGCTGGTAATATTGGAAAGAAAAAATATAAAATATAGTGAAAAAATAGCTTAGTTAATAAAATGTATAAAATATTCTGCTTATTGTTTACTAGATTCACTCATACGAATCTACTAAATAATTCAATAATTTGTTAAATAATTAATAAATGTTTTTTAATCCACGAATTGGAGTTGTAGGTAAAAGAATTTCGAATATTTCCCACTGGAAACAAATTTCAATGTATCGCAATCATTATTAATTACACACATACTTGTGAGTGTTGATATCTCGTGGGGTCGAAGTGTCATCGACTACGAGATATATATTTTTTTTTTCTGGGGATAATTTAACAATATTTTAGTGTTCTCTTGTGTCAAAGGTAATTACTCCAGCAAATAAAAATGGTAAGTCCCGTCAGAACTCAAATTCTCTAGTCTAGAGTTGAATTCTGTTATTTCGAGGTGTTTATTTGCATTAGATTATTATTTCCTGAGGGATTAAAATCGTTGGGTAATCATTTTTGAAAGCCCACGTGAGGGCAAAATTCACAGTAAACAAATGTCTCTCAGTCGATCGTGATGGCAAGAATGAACTCGTCTTTAACAGAAATTCTACTCAAATACCTGAGGAAAAATGTGAATTGATTTTTTTTTTTGATTATTCTTTGATTTTTTAATTGTTTGGAATTTTTTTACAGACGAATTTCGAGGGGAATGATTCAGCGAATGCCAAGGAGCTGTCAGGACGATCTGAGGGCTCCGGAGATCCTAGAACATCGGTCTTAGCTGAGATGAGGAGCACTGAAGTGAGTGGATTAATTAATATTTCCGTAATAATTTGGAATTATCGATTTTTCGATTCATGAGAATGAGAGGGAATTGGTTTTTTTTTTAGGTAGGATTCATCACTGAAGTTCCTGACTATGAGAATCTCAGTACATCAGCTGTTCTTCATTACTGCAAGTGCAAAATCCTCGTGCCTTATTTGAGATTGCTCTGGGTAATGGGACTCAGGCCCACGAGTACAGATTCTGAGAGTTACTCCTGGCATTCGGTACTGGCGAATATTCACACCGTTCAGGTGACAATTTTCATGTGCATCGGGTATGTCCTGCAGTACATGGCGTGTTTCAGGTAACGAACAAGATTAATTATTTTTTAATGACTTGATTAATTCACTTTAGTCCACAATCAGTCAATTATTTCAACTTTGAAAAACAAAATTTATCTACTAATTCTGGGATTTTTTCTCTTCTCTCTATCCTCCAATTTGACGTGAAAATTATTGTTGCAATTTTTATCGGTTTATTTACTCGTTGTGTCGAGGATTAATCAACAATCATGAATTATTGGTCGTTAAATGTGAAGTGGTGAAACGAGATAAATTGAATATTACTGTTTTATTAAATGTTTGATTTAAAAAAAAAAGGGGGACGACGATTGTAGATCAGGCTCCTGGGCCTGACGAGAATTCCCTGGAGTACCTGAATTGCTCGCCACTTTATTTTTCTTTTATTTTTCTTTTATTTTCCTTTTGTTTTCCAGACGAGATCGTGGATTTTGCTACAAACTCCTTCCCATCCAGTCCCAGCCAGAGAGTATGACAAGAGCTCGAGATTACGAGCAGATCTGCTACGGCAACGCGATCTTCAGTTACCTGATTCCTAGTGTCCTTCACCTGGTTGCCTACCTATACACAGTTTATTTATTCCGAATAAAAGAGAACGAGCAGCTGCAGAACCTGATGGAGAGGGCCTTCCTCCTGTCATCGAATCCTGTCAACAGGGGAAATCAGAAAAAATTAGTGAAGATTCTGTGGCTGTTTATCGGACTGTCCGTTGTCTGGATGACGATGGCACTCGTCAGTGTCAATGTGCTCATGGCCAGGGGGACAATTCTATTTCAATGGCTGGATCACAGGTGAGAATACGAAAATTCATTAATTGAATTGAAGATTAATTGCTCTGTTTATTTTTTGTTTTTAGTCCTGAACAGTTCAAGAAGCTATCCAAAGTTCTTTTGATAATCTGCACTTTGTGGCACGACATGGTCCAGGGTACTGTCATCACTAGTTACTGTCTACAAGGACAATTACTTGTCTCTCATCTCAATTTTCTCAAGGCTAAATTGTTACAGAATACTTTACCCGCACTTGACTGGATGAAAGTGAGTCTCAATATCAAATATTCACCATTCAATTATTAAAAATAGTCTCAGTTAAAAAATAGCAAAAACAATGTTAATAATTTTTTATTGTAAAAATCATCTCGAGAACTATTGATTTTTCGAGGAAATCTCAAAAGACCTTTTTTCTCGAAAATTTGATTGACTTTGATTTTCGAGATAAATCGATTATAAATCGAAATGTTAAAATTACTTGACATGATTATCGTTTTTTTTTTATTTATATCTGGTTTCCGCCGTTGATTTTTGGTTTTTAGGAGATCCTGGAGTTCAAGAAGCTTCTGAAGTACCTGAATAACGACCTGGCCCCAGCAGTCTGCATTTATACAGTGGTAAATCTATCCTGGGCAGCTGCAGGGATTGCCTGGCTCCTGGAATACGACACAGTAGACTCAACAGCCAGTCCAGTTCCCTATTTCAGCATCGTCAACGTCATCCTCTGGGTGTTGATCACAATGGCGCCATTCGTCCAAGCAGCCAGACTCACCACTGCCTGCTCCATGATCCAGAATTTGGGACACGAGGTGAGGGTCAGACCATTCGTTTACCAGACAACACCTGGGGAAGATCTCAATACAATTCTACTTTACACTTCCTCCCTGAGGATGTGTGCTAGGCTCTTCAGGGTACCAATCACTGGGCGATATTTGTGTTTAATACTTACTGTCGCCAGTATTGTACTCCTGGTGATGGGGCAGTGTCACGTCTTTGCGTAAAGTTACGTCAAATTATTTGACGAATTTTAGGATCGAAAGTCTCGATTTTTGGGGATTATCTCGATAATTACGACACCTACAGAAAAGTGTCATTATGAATTTTTGTAGAGGATTAAATTCTCCACAATAAATCTCTTATCACATTTTTCACTAGACGTCGTAATTGGCAAGATAATTGAGTGTTTATGGGAGGTAAATTGTTTTAGTCAAGAGGGAGGCGTGAGTTTGAAATTTATTATTTAATGGGGAATTATCTCTGAAATGGAAGGGTTTAGGGAAAAAATGGTATTAGCATTTTTTGTAGGGAATTAAAATCTCTACGAAAAAGGTTCAACACAGTTTTTCATAGGATTGATAATTACCGAGATAATTGCGTGATTAATGAAGAGGGAAATTTAATAAGACTGCGTTAACAGTTTTTCTATCGCCGATTGTTAATCAACTCGTCTAATTTTTCCTCCAATTGTATTTTTGGAGTAAAAATTATTCAAAATGTCATCATGTTATTTTAATAGTAAAATATAGGTATTGATGAAATAATTAAACAAATTGAATTAAATTTATTTGATTTATTCTTTGGCTACAACCATTAATAATTTACAACTACATTATATCTCCTTTTTACAATTATTTTAGTATTAAAAATATCCAGATTTATTTACAGACGGAAAAACAATTCAATTCTTGTAAAATGAACAATCTATCTCACGAATTAATTTGTTTTTCTTCATTTTTCATCCATTTCCTGAGAGTAGATGGATGAGGGAGAGTGATCTTCTCCCTGAGGTAATCATATGCCTCTCTGCTGCAGAGGTAGATGGTTATGGCGAAGTCCTTAATGAAAAGCTCGTAGTTCTTCTTCAGGGATGGTGAGACGTGATGTGTCAGTTCATTGAGGAATAAATCCCTCCTGTCCTCTGGGATGTACTTGTGGATGGCGTCGGCGATGACGTCCATGTCGGTTCTCTCGACGTGGGATTTTACGATTACCTTCAGCTCCTTGATTTTCAGTTCTGCGCGTTTCAGACGTTTTCTCAGATTCTTATCACGACGTCGTAATATCTCCAAGTTTTCGAACGTTCGTTTATTCGTTGTCGTCTGGACACCCACGTCCTGCGTCGTCAGCAGGACGTCTTCCTCTGGGGACTAGAGAGGCAGATGATTAAGGGTACGTGAGATTTTTTGTTATTACACATTTATTATTATTCATGTCTGTAGTGATTTGCGTTGAGTTTTTCGGGAATATCGACGAACTAAAGGGAGATAGCGATATTTTTGTCTCCATCTTTTTTTCAGAGGCGATCGAGACCTGAAAAATTGGTTATTACAAAAATTTCGGTATTTCCCTCAGTTGCAGAGATATTCTTGAAAACCGTTGTTTTTTTCGGGATTAGATGAAATTGAGTTGTTTGAAAAGTTGTAAAATAAAAGAGATGAGAATTTTTGGATAATTTTGAGAAATTTTGTACCTCAAACTCCTCGTCTGAAGGGTCTGATAGCATTTCCAAGTTAACGAATTCCGGCTCCTGAAGAAAATAAAGAATCTCGTGATTTTTAATTATGAAATATCATAGAAGGGGTTTTAAAAATTAATCACCGTGGCATCTCCAAATAACGTGGGCACAGCATCTTTTTTGAGAGAATTTCGGAGAGTTTTAGTATTAATACAATCTGAGAAACAACTCTCATTGAAGTGTTTACTGCACACTGATGAATAATTTAAATTAGTGCTTCTTAATTTTCCCGGGGGAATGGCCTCCAGCCATTTCTTCCTGGACTCCTCCCTCTTTGGAAAGCTAAAAATATTAATTACCCCAAATGATCTCATCAATAAACAATTGAAATTTATTCTAATGAAAAAAAGAAAAATCATTTTAGAAACCTGTGAAAACTGAGTTCAGTCCCAGGCCACCACTCGCTCTTGCAATCCTTAATACAACATTGTCTCACCATTTTAAATAATTGCTAAATTCAACAATTGTTGACTCCCCCAGATTTATTAACATTATTCGAGGTTAGAACGTCCGAAATAAACAAAAACCAGTGAATTTTCCGTCGTCTGTCGCTTCATGGAAATTTGTTTATCGACAAACGGACGTTCTAACCTGAAAAATTAATTTGTCAGTGTGAAGTTTGCACTTTTCTTTCGTTCAATAATCAGAACAACAATTCACCGAAACTTTTGTGACGAATAAAAGAGCGATTCATCAATTCTCGAGGGATTAATTACAAAATTGTGAACATGTCAGCCACATCTACTCACAAAACTCTCACAGCATTGGGTTTTATTTCTATTTTACATGCAGCCTATTCAGCAGCTCAACGTAAGCCTCACAATTATTTCAATAAACAATCATTACCTCTAAACCCAACTAATTAATTAATTAATTAATGTTTCAGATCGATCATACTTGAGGATAACTGAACAAGAATTCACGACTTTACCTGTCGATGTGAGTATTTAATGAATTATTAAGTATAATTAATGTCTAATTACTATTTTATCGTGATTTTTATCAGATTCTGATCCAAGGAATTCTCAGTTTATTCCTGGTGATGTACGGAGTTCTCTACATAGCAGGGGATTTCAAGGAAATTCGGGCAGTTGTTGACCTTGAAAATAAATCATGGGAGAACACGAGGAACCTTCCCTCGTTCCAACTATTCCATCATCGAGGCAGATGTCTCTCCCCAGACTACGTCCCTCCATATTAATTAATATTAATATTAAAAAAATAATCAAACAATCACCTCCAAAGATTCAATCAACTCTAATTAAAAAATATATCAGTTAAGCCACAAATAATTGATAGTGGAATAATAGTATGAAGATGTTTTAATGAAAATTCTGCCAATAACTGTTACATCAATTCGTGGAGAGAATAAAAAATAGTGGTATCACTTCTTCTGCTTCTTCTTCTCGGCCTCTGCCTCTTTCTCCCTCTCAATTTCAACGACATATTCGCCTATCGTGTCACTGTCGAGCATCTGGACAGGTTGACCCCTGCGCATTATCGCGATCTCCAGGTTCTTCTGACCGGATGTCACCACCTCCAGGAGCGCCCTGATGGCCAATTTTATTGAGCCCCTCTCGGTCGAGACTTCCTCGGGTGTGTAGTACTTCTCCAGGAACTCCTTCACGGTTTTTGCTGCACGTCCAGTGGCATTTGCCTGGTAATAAAATTTATCGATTTTTACCATTATCTTAATAATAAAAAAATAAAAATAAAAAAAATAAAAATAATAAAACTCTCTCGATTTCTCTTAATTGCGAATTTTGTTACCTTCCACTCGTAATAGATTCCCGAGGGCTCAGTCTGGTATAAATGTGGACTGCCATCATAATCGAATCCAGCTAACAGACAGGAGATACCGAAGGGACGTCTACCGTTGCTCTGAGTGTATTTTTGCTTCAGACCTGGTGAAGGAGAAATCGAAAATTCATAATTGGAATTTTTAAATTACGGTGGGAATTATTACCAGCGATATAACGAGTTATGTACTCGAGTGTGACAGGATCTTCGACTGTGAGTTTGTGGCTTTGACACTCGATCTGCGCACGATTTATCAGGACTCTAGCATCAGCAGTAAGACCTGTATTTCAATAATTGATTAAACACAATTAATTAACCATTGATAAAATTTCTTGAATTTTTTTTTGTCATCAGAATGTACCAGCAAAGGCCATGACGACGTGGTCGTCCAGAAGACAGATCTTCCTCACAGTCCTCTCCTCCTGGAGTTTAGCTACAGATTTTTTCTCCACCCCTAGCACCACGATATCCTGACCCCTGACGCCCACCTGTCAGTCAGACAAACAATAAAACAATTAATAACAACCCAAAGGAAGGAATTCTCCCAGAACATGGATTTTTGTCATCCCTCTCTGAAGATCGCCTGAAGCCAAAATTTTTAAAGAGAAATGAAATTTCTCTGGATAATTCCTGGAGAAGAGAGAGTGGAGTTTTGGGAGTGGAAAATCGAGGGAAATTGTCGATGAAAATGGATTGAACAAGTAAACAACAGGTTATGTCCACCGAATAATTCAACTTACCGCAGTTGAGCCTTTCCTGACAGCCTCCTGGGCGTATTCCACCTGGAGGAGATGTCCATCAGGTGAAAAGACAGTGATTGCGCGATCGTACCTCGCAGACATTATTAATCAGAATAAAGTGAGTAATAAATGATGTGTGTGAATGGGAAAATGACTCGACTTTTTAATCAACTACGGCGTTTTTCAGGGGTTCGAGGCGTTTGGCAACTCATAGCACATGTGGCGCCTCTCAGGAAACATTCAGAAGCTCCAGAGGCTCCGCATAAAAACACAATTCTGCAAAAGCTCTCTGAAACATCGCATCGAAAAATTGCGCAACACTTTCGTTTTTGATAATCAAAATTCACCGATTTAACAGGTGAGAATAGATTTTTCTCATATATCACCATTTTATTCGAAGAGATCACTGAGAATATTTTTAAAATATATATTTTAAAACTTAATTAAATTAATTATATAGAACTCTTGAATACATCCATATTTTTGACAGTTAAACGCCATTGTCTTAAAGATATATTTCAAGCCATGATTTTGTAAATGAATCGCAATTCATTGTAAATGTTTAATTCATATATTTTTTGTTTCAGAAAAATGCTCAAGTTGTCGGGTGGATTTAGGTACTTAATAATCTACGCTATGCTTTATACTACTTGTATTAGAACTCCTGGAGCTATGGGGTCGACTGGAACCGAGAAGAATGAAGGCAAGTCCGGAGGTGTAAGTTGGCTTTACGTCATTGGTGGAGCAGCTGGAGCAGTCGTGGGAGCTCCATTAGTAGTCGGAGCTCTTGGTTTCACATCAGTTGGAATAACAGGTGGATCTACTGCTGCGTGGATGATGAGTTTATCAGGAGGTGCTACAAAAGCGGGATCTATTGTAGCTGGACTCCAGAGCATTGGAGCAACTGGTACTGTCATGGGGTCGACAGTGGCAACTGCAGCGTCTGCAGCAACTGGTGCAGTCGTTGGCGCCGGAGTTGCAAAAGCCACAAAAAGTGATTAAGGATTGTCTTGAAGTATTATTTTCTATGTGCATTTATGTAAAATTGTATTTTAACGATGGACTATGTACCCTACGTATAAATAAACATTTTTTTGGTTAATCAAAGACTTATCATTTGTCCTCCCCTTATCCATGAAATCCTTTTTATGAATGATAATAATATCAACAATAACAATAAAAATAAAACAATAATAAAAATAAAATCAACAATTCTTTCAAATGCATCCTCTGCATTCCGAAATATACAGTTCCAAAATAACCTTTTCCAAACATGATGGAGAATCGTATGCCAGCGGGAGTGTGTACTCTAGGGGGTAGGCTATTTTTCAAGGATTTTGCTCTACGACCCACAGGAGCCGAGATATTTCCATTTTTCGGTTTGGACTGCTGGAAAACATGAAAGTGCATATTTCGGGTTCCAGTAGAGTTCAAATGACGGAGAATCGTATTCCTGGCGGGGGTGAAGAGTCTAGGGGGGGTCCAAATTTCAAGGATTTTGCTCTGCGACCCATAGGAACCGAGATATTTGCATTTTTCTGTTTGGAATGCTGGAAAACATAAAAGCGCATATTTCGGG